TRTTTAGCTTTTATCTGGGGACCCTTAAACTCTTCAGGTTACATGGGGATTGAGCTCAGCACACCCCTCAGGGGCACCTATTCAAAAATCTGTGAGCTGGTACCTCTTGGAGCTGTGGGAAGACACCTCTATGGGATCAGCTGCTGTTAGTCTAACTGCTCTGAAGTGGAGTTCAGCCTCTTCAAAGGCTCAGAGCACATCTGTGTCACTGTCCCACCTCGTTTGCTGAGATTGTCTCASTGACTCCTTGCTCTGACTCCTCTGTGTGCAGGTGAGCAGCTGTGCAGGCCCAGAGTGRGAAGTGGAGTCACACTAAATATTGTGGTAGAAAGGAAAAAAAAAACAGGAATATTCTGTTTGTCATGACCAGAGTTAGAATTCCCACACCTCAGAGGGGTTGCACTCAGTTTCATGAAATCCTGTTAATTTCYACTGACTCTCCTTTATCTTCTGCTGGAAGATATGGTCTAGATATGCAAGTAATGAGCAACATGGATTTAGACCAAAACTGTTAGCAATAAAATCAGTGTCATTCTTGCACTAATTTGGAAAGGGGTGTCTGTGCAGGGGAAAACCAGAAAAAACAGAAGACTAAAATTTTGACACTGTGGTTTGGGGAATTAGTGCTCAGTCCAAGAACTGGCACTGACAGCCCGAGTGCCAGCAAACACTGGAATGAAGCTGATAAGAGAGATGGAGAGGTTGTAGAAGCTGTCATTACAGACAGCTGGATATTTTGAGCAAATATCTGACAGCTGGGAGATAATTTGACAGCACTGAACACAGGAGATTTGGGATAAGAGATGCTGTCAGTACAGCGCTGGGATCTGAAAGCTGGGGCTGTCCACAGGGGCTAAAATCACGACAGTGAACCAAACACCTGCCATCCCAAAGTGAAGTTTGTAAGGCTGAATACAGGAGGCTGTTTTTTATTTCCTGTGGGTGGAGGTGGCATTGCTCCTTGCTCAGTTCTGCTTCTCCAATTTTAGGTAGGACAAGCACCAGTGAGCTATTTTTCCTTACTGGTATATATAACTACTTGTTTAAACAGAGATTTGTCAGCATCTTCATTTGACTCATGAACAATGTGAAATAAATATTTTACATGCTGCCAATCTAGTTTCCTGAACTTGAAATATGATTTGTGGTGGTGCTAACCATATTTGCCTGCTAAGAATAAGTAGTTCAAGAAGAAATATTTCATTGAATACCACAGGCCATGGCTGTCATTTGCAGGATTTCTGTACAATCAGCTTCTTTTCCATCAATGTSGGTTCCACTTACATAGCAAATTGTAATCTGGTGTCAGAAACAGCATCTAAKAAGAGCATTCCCCAGGGCTGATGCCCTTATCTATAATTCCAGCACATAGGAACATCCTCTATGAAAAGCTTCATAGCACAATTTCTCTTTAGAATATACAGAGGATYGTTTAATGTTAGCAATAACTTCGGCAGAACAGGTAGTTTGGTCTTTGTGTTGTAAGAACAAATAAGGCGTTCATGTGTTTGAGTTCAGTGCAGTTGCTCACTATCTGGGCTTATCTAGCAGAGTTTTGCTCATGCCAAGGCCAGTGTGTTCCCATGGCATTCCGAAGTCTCCTTACTCCACCGAGTGGCCAGTCACTCCACTGCACGTCTGTCACCAACACAAGGCACCCACCTGCAGAGACTGGCAAGAAAAATAATACATAAAGCAGAGGTGAATGAACAAGATTTCTCCCTTTTCCAAGTCCCACAGTCCTCCAGATGCCTCGGGGCCAAGCATCTCTTCCTGGTACGTCCCAGAAACCTCCCTGCTCCTTCAGGGAAAGGACAGCACTCTTCCACTTTTCTCTCTGACCAGATCCAAGTAGTTGGGCAGGCTTACATTTCCCTCAGATTATAACATACAATGGCATCTGGCAACCTCTTGAAAGCAATGAAATGTTTAAAACTCAAGGATAACCCTGTGAAAAGCAGACCCAGTGCAGTAGCAGCAGCCAAGCTATTTTCAACGTCTACCCCCAATAGGGCTCTCAAGTGACACACAGACATTACTCTATGGCTCCAACAAGCAAATCACATTAACAGACCTAAGCCCCAGATTCCTGAAGACTTCTGTCATCCTCCTTTCCCTCCCTCAATTTGTTAAAAAATAAATGAATCATCTAGAAAATCATCTAGCAGCTGTAACAGACTGAGGATGCACCAACCAGTGTATTTTCTTTGGCCTAACACACCCATCAGAATATATACAGGATAATATACACAATATGACAATGAAGAAGTGCTCCAAGATTTCCATCCTGCCTCAGTACACAATCATTCTTCTTTTGTTGTGACTTTCAAAGAAACTTCTAGGTTTCCTTCTCTGGCTTGCAAAAGGTAGATTGTTATAGAAAGCCAAAACTGTTCATGCTGAAGCAGCAGTGCTGAATTATTGATTTTTAACAGAGATTTGTTTCTGTGAAAATCAACTGATGCTGAGCAAAACAAGTCAGTGGCTATCAGGCTACCTATGCAATCAAAGCCTGCAGCTGCAAAGGATAAAACACAAACTCTGGGCTGTTTTCTTCTGACTGATCCAGCATCTGTAAAAAATCTTATTAATATTTAGAATGAATCACTCTAAAGGATTTGCCAAGTGACTGCCCTTATCTGGAAAAGGCACAGTGCATGAAATCAAAGTGGACAAAGTCTGTCACTGCTAATCAGATACACAGTGGGACTTGAACTCCTTTCAAAGCAAAGATTTCTTACAGCATCTGCTGGACAGGTGACCTACCTTCGTGATCATCCAGAGCTGTGACACACCAGTGACAAAGCCTTCACTGGAATAAAACAAATCTTCCTTGATACTAAATAATTTTTGCTTTTTTTAGTTGTTTGCATCTAGATGAACCTTAGTTAAAAGCCTGTCTCCATAGGCAAGTGTTTTTATTCTAGCACATTTAATTTGGCATAGCCCCTAAAACCAACAAATCGTTACCACCAGCCTTCTTGAGACCATCTTTTTTCCTCACAAGCTGTCTCTGCCAACAGAAAAATCTGCAGAAGCAAAAACAAGGCAGGACAAAGAACACATGCCTCAGGCCTGTGACTGAGCACCAGCCCATGGCAATGTGAATCAATGCCCCTTTTGATAAAGACGGGTAAGAACAGCACTAAAYACTGCTTTCTGGAGAGACCAACTTYTCAATTATTTTCCTCTMTCAAGCCCTATAGCAACAATTTAGGATTAATGCAGAATATTGTATATAACAGGACTGAGGACCAGGCAGCTCAAACTGCTGTCATGGTTTAACCCCAGCAAACCAAGACCACTTCCGCTGCAGACGGATGGGGGAGAGACTGAAGGGGAAAAGTGAGAAAACTCATGTYTTGAAATAAGGACAGTTTAATAGGMAACAAGCAAATCAAAACCAGGAATTCATACACCACTTCCCATGGGCAGGCAGTTGTGCAGCTGTCTCCAGGGAAGCAGGGCTCCATCACATGCAGCAGTTACTTGGGAAGACACAGCACCACTCCCAGTGTGCCACTTCCTTCTTCTCCTCCAGCTGAGGATGGCACCACATGGTCTGGGACATCCCTTAGGTCAGTTGGGGTCAACTGTCCTGGCTGTGTCCCCTCCCAACTCCTTGTGCTCCCAAAAGCCTCCTCACTGGTGGGGGCAGAAAAGGCCTTGCCAGAACTGTTCAGCCACAACTAAAACAACCCTGAGTTATCAACACCGTCTCCAGCATAAATCCAAAGCACAGCCCAYACTATCTACTAGAAAGAAAATTAACTCTATCCCAGCCCAAACCRGCACATTACCCAKGCAAAAACATACTGATTTGCTTGGCAAATTATTTTAAAATATTCCAAGAATGCAGATATGCAAATTTACACACGTGTAGCAACCTCCTCTTGTTCATCTGAAAGCCAAACCAGAAAATATGTAATCTTCAAGCATGACATCAATGGGATGCTGAAGAGAGATGAATGAGATCTATTTATTGAAAAAGAGTATTTTAAAAAATCCAATCCAGATTTGCATTGCTAAAATTCTCAAGAATACAAGAAGTGAACACAAAAAAGGAAAGCAATTATTAGGCACCAATAGTGCAGCTGCTGGGTGATTGCCTCTGTGCTCACACAGCATTGTGCCTCAGTTCTTGCTAAGCCAATGCTATCAGGCATTTCATGACAGTTTCGGTGGCTGGAGTAATTGAGAGGTTGATACTTGTTTAGGATTCTGACAGCTGGAAGGAGCTGTTGTGCCTCCCATCAGACTGAAATAAACAGCGACTTCATGCTCCATAGCAAAGGTCAAATGATGTCTGRCCAAGTCTCTTCTTAACTATGTATCATATTAAAAAAGTGTTGTTTCAAAAGAATAGGYCTCTGCAAGACTCAAAATCTCTAAAAGACACGGATCAAAATTTTGTATATCCTTTTAAACACTGCTATCATCTTTCAGAATTATGTTGTTATTGCTCAAATAATGCTCCTTTCCACTCTCCAGGCTGAACCCAGAAGGTTGTAAGAGGCTTCTGTCTGTTAAGACTTTTTGGTACAACAAGAGGGTGTTAACAGGCCTTCTGCTTCAAAACACAGAAAAGCAGGAATTCCTGCTTTAGGTGTTAAGACTAAAGGGAGAGTTTGAGAACAGGAGAATTAAGGAGAATGAAAAGGAGAAACAAATGGTCACATGAAAAAGGGCAAATCCTCCTCTGGGGGATGTYTTTCTCTCTCCATAGTACAGGAAGTCTGAAGAATCCTGGATCCTAATTCAGGCACCTCAGCAAGATGAGATGAACCATGATTCCTCTAGGGCAGGTCCTCTGTCCTGGCATTTCCATATCTTCAGCTTGTAATCCAGGCAGGTGACTCAGGCAGAGGCCTGAAGACAAAGGAAGGAACATTCCACAGCCTCATGAAGCAGGTCAGCTCTCCCAGAGGAATACAAAGCAAATCAAGTCAAATCAGTTTTACTCTTGGTGTGCAAACAGACAAGGGAGCATTCAGGGAAGGGCAAGAGCACAAAATCCTTCCAAGGCAAAGGCTCAGAGTTAGTCTGTCATGACAGTGGACTTCCCTCTGGAGGACTCRTTTATGAACAATGTTAAGGCAGCAAATCACAGCTTAAAATTCAAAAGCAGAAACTCATTCAAGGAAAAAATGCCTTTCCATAAGCACTTGTGCACAATATCAGCAAGACRAGAGAGGCTGTGCATCCAAACAGCCCCTGCACCTCCTTTGGCTTGGGATCCCGGACTCACGCTCCTCCAGAGCCCTGGTGYTGGGCAGGAAGCCAGACCAGCTGAGCTCTCCTCCCCTAGTGCTGCTGCTGGGTCACCATCCTGAGCATTTTGAGTGCCATCTCTCCTTGGTCAGCTGGTACCTAGCACAGAGAAACGCACAGGATAAGCAGCTGCTGTAAGGAAGCAGAGAGCAGCTACCCACACCGACACCACACCTGCTGATCCCACCCCAAGGACTTCATTTTTACCATGTGCCCAGCCTTGAGAATCCAGAAGAAAGCCAAGTTCTTATAGGCCTTGTGGAAAGCAGCTGTCTCAGTGGATTCTGGAGACACATACAGTGCCTTCCACCTCTTCTGGCTGAACTGTTTCAGGTCAGGCCATTTCAGTTTCCGGATCCATGCCTCCTGGCCTGGATGATAAGAGAGATAATTGATTACCAATACTTGGTAATTACTGATACTTGGTTCCACAGCAACTTGGGAGTCCAGTTCAGCTGGATGCCCACTGTACTGGATACCAGTAAAGCAGAGTTAGCACAGAGTCTGTGGGCTCAGATCCTAAAACAATTTCGTWGTGCCTAGGAAAATTCAGGACAAGCTGAAACAAACCAATGGAGGGCAAAGGGAAAAAGCAAACATGAAATGGACTAAGASACGTGTTTCTTGGAGGCCCTGCAGCCCTAGAAATTTCAACATATTTTGCTTTGTTTCTCAAACACCTTGAATGTCCTGCCATGGAGAAGGATCAGCCATACCAAGTCCCCCTCCCAGAAATCAGAAGAGGCACTATTTCCGTGTTTGTTAGACACTCATTGAGGGGAGAATGGAAAGGCTTTCTGCTTCCAGGTGYTGTAGAGAAGGTGGAGGTCAAAACAGCAACAAAAAATTCCAAGGGGGACAAAGTACCAGCCTACCTGTGAACTACTGGAAGAAATTACAKGTTAASTACAGCTCAATTTGAGATCAAAATGAGATAAACTGGAGCACCACTAACTGCTAATCTGTTTTGACAGCCTAAATACTCTGTTTCCTGGATTTATTGATTGCTGTGTTGTTCATGAAGGGCATCTGAATATCCAAGTAGGTAGAGAAAGAATAAGGCCTTTCACAACATGACAAGGTGTTTGTGGAATCTGTGACTGCAGATTCTTTAACTCAATGAGAAAAGGCCAGGGCAAGGGAGCACAGAAGCCCTGAGAGACATTTCAGCAGCCCTTGGCCTGGCTCCCAAACTGCCCCTGGACCGAACCAGCACCTTGCAAGCAGCAAGAGCCAAGCAAAGCCCACAGTGTGCAGGAGCCTACACAGAGCAGGTGTGATCACTCTGCACCCTCCCTCATTAATCACCAGCATTCTTTACCTATGAATGAGCACGCACACACACACACATCTGTGTCTACCCAGGACCATTAAGTGCATTATTAGCTTTGCTGAAACAAGCAATTACTGATGTTGCAGATCTATTTCTCAACAGTATAATAGAGGTAAAGGTTTTGCCTCTCAGAGGGATATAAGCACAACATGCTAAGAGCTGCTCGTCTATGACTCTGCTGTTTAAGCATTGCTAGTTAGAGAAGAGGTTTGCAYAGGAGACTGGAGAAATGTAGGTACCAATACACTGACAACTCCACATTCTACTCATCACRTGCTCTGTTTCCATCCCCAGCCAAGAAGTTCCTTACCCATGGTGTCAACAATGAGATCCAGCTGCCCATTATAGACTGTGACATTGACATTGGCTGCCAAAAGCTGATCAACAATATCGATGACAGGTTTCATGAAGTCCTCTGCCATGTTCTCAAAGACTTTTCTGGATTGACCTGGTTGGAACCAGAAAGACAAATTTTAACTGATGAAGGACATCATCCCCAAGCTGAAGSATGGGCTAAAGGTTCTAAAATGGAGTTCACAGCTGCATAAAACCCAGTCCAAGGCYGAAAGTGGCACCAGTGCTTTATCAGTCTGAGGAGCCAAAGGACCAGAGAGCAGMTGTGCTCCCACTGGAGCTCACAGACAGTGCTGCAGTTTCTGGCTCCTATTTAGACACACGGGGTGCTGGCATCAGTCCTTCAAGCCTTCCTTTCTGTTTTACACCCTCTCCTCCACACGATGCATCATTACATGACACCAGACTTCTGGCAGAGAAAAGCTGACAGGAAATTCAGCAAGATTGCACAGAAGACAGAAACCAGCTGCCGAAATACAGAGGATCTTCCTCCCTCCCCCTGTATTTTTAGTGACTTGGCTAAAGATAAACATGAGCAGCAGAATGAGAACCAGAACCACATCTGCTCCCACAGGCCTGCCCCATAACATCTTCATTTCTGAGAACAAATCCCCSTCTTAGCCCCACAGATAATGACATTTGGATGTGACCAATTGCCAGAGTATTTTCCTACAGGATGCAATTCTGCAAACAGCAGTAATGGACACAGGAGATGCACAGAAGACAGGAAAGTACCTCCCCACTTCACACAGTCAGGAATGATCATCAGCTTCTTTCTGATGGGCCCATTCATCAGCTCATCKAGGCTGCTCTGATGCATTTTCCTGACGTGGAGCTGGTAAAGCCGCACTGATAAAGGAGAGAACACACTTTGATCAGTGGCTTATTTAAGACATCAACCTGCACAGTGTTACAATTTTCAGTGCCAGTCATGGCCAACAAGCCCTTTTCTAACAAAAATGCAACATTACAGAGAGATTTGCTCACTTCTGCTAGAAACCCCTGAAATCAACCCTTATTTAGGTCAGGGGATGCTACAGGAAGAACCCAACCATCCACTTCTACTTTTGGATAACACAGCACTTTTTCTGGGAATCAGCTTCTGCTTTAATCACTTGGCTCTTCTCAACTGACCAGTTATTTTTGAGCTGTAATGTTTTACTTTCAGGAGTTAACTTCACCTTCCCTTACTAAAACAACAGAAAAAGAGCTTGAAAGAAAGAAGCTCTACATGTGTGTTTTTCACACTGATGCACAAAAATCATGCAGCAAGAGTCTAATCAGACTGTTTATACTGATGAGACATTTTTGTGTCCTGTCTTAAAGACAGAAATGGAAGACARTAAGAGGAAGTAACTTAAAAGGTCATAAAATGATGTTGCAATTATACTGACTACTTCCTTGCTGTAATTTGTACAGGATGCATAGGTGGAGGTGTCATCTATAGGGTTGTTCCACATTCCTATCTGTCTCTATGCAACAGCAAACAAGTTCTGCTCAGGAGAATATAAACATCCACTTTAAGGATGTGCCAAATTGAGGCTCTTTCCACWGTCAGAGTTGAAGGCATGTGAATGGAAACACAAGGCCTCAGAARTTCAAGTATTTAAATATTACTTACTGAGATGGAAATTTTCTTGTTCATCTGATTTCATTTCTGGAACCTCCTTAGTCAAGATGTTATAAAAGTTCACATTGTCTGTGTTCTGAAAACACAAGATAATTTCAGTAACACTAACAAAAAACATTTCTCAGATATGAGGAACAGTCTTCCCTGAAAAAAAAAAAAACCAAAAAAGAGATAAGTAAATACTAAATGAAGGACCCTGTGACCTGCCACTTTACCTGCACACCAGGAAGATACTTGTGGAAAAACTTCAGTTCTACATTTGCTTTGAGAAGTGGGAAAGAGATTCTTCAAGGCTGTATTGTTCACACACGGGTTGTGCCAGAGGTGTTATTTACTCCTCCAAAGCAGATGTGAAGCTACAGGAAGCCTTACCCTGCATTACTCAGAGAGCTGCAGTGCCAGGTGATGCTYTCAGACAGGCCCTGCTGCCAGGTCTAGTCTGGTGCTGTCTCTTGCTCAACATCCTTCCAACCCATAACCCTCCAAAATCTAAAATACTGCCTCGAAAACGTGGTGATGGATATGAGCCACCCCTCTTCTGGAACTGCCCGGATGTGCCCAAGAACTGCAGCTTGGCAGCTTTGACACAGCTGACAGAGGCTGCCTGCAACCAGGGACAAGTGTGATCAGTGTTGCCATTAGAGAAATTATTCCAGATCCTTGAAGTCTTGCTTTGCTTCATTTTTGAGTTTTTAAAGTTCTGATGCTGAGGTTAGAAATCATCTCACAACAGCAATCCCAGAAGAACAGCAGTGCCTTCACTTGCCAGCACCATCCCAACTGAGAGGAAAAGACAAGCAGATTTTGAAAGTAAAACAGGAACCACAAGTTCCTTCTAAACAGCAAGAAGTGAAACCAATTCTGTACAAGGCCCTGCCAGTTATAAAGCAAGAAAAAAAAAAAAACCCAACAAAACAAACAACACCCCAAAAAAGAGAAAAAAAAGGAAATGGCTCCAGATTAGCCTTTCCATCTGAGGAAGCCAAAACCTTATGCATACTAAAGAATGAGATGTAACAAAGAGTGAGATTTCGATTTTTTTTTTGTTTAACAGGAGAAACAAGAGCAAAACTTTATCAGTCCTTTAAGCAGGAACTTGCTAAGTAATGAGATGCAGTGACCYACAGTAACAGACCATAACTTGAGGKTCCTTTCCATCCTGYGCACTTATTTTARTTCTTCAAATAGAGATGTATGCCTAACTTGAAATCTGTGTCTTGCTGGATGCAGTTTTCAATATTTAAAGCTTTCCAGGAGACATAGTTTATCAAATCTGAAATGGTAGAAATCAAGAGAACTACTTGTATGCAATACTGGAAGCCCACAAGGGCTGCCCTACCCACTTCCCCTGTCACTCACACAGTGGGGCACAGYAAACACTCCTTTATATCAGCACTGGGATAAAACAAATACTGGCAAAATGACTGGGAAGAGGTTTGGAGAACTCACACCAGCTCAACACTCACAGAAAGAATAACCTGAAAATCATGTGCCTCCCCAGGCAGCAGTTACTAATGTTGGTCAAGGATCTCACCTCTTCAATGACACCTTCAGCCTTGCCCCAGAGCTCAGTRGCCAGCCCATATTGGTTTTTATTTATTGCATCCATTATTTCTTTGGCAACAGCAGTCACCTCTGCCAGGCCATTATCATCAAGGAGAGACTGGAAGACAATCACAAAGAAGGAAAGCTTTAATTACAATTCCACATGCATTTATAGCCAACAGCCTCCATGCTTTCCAGGTTTTATTCAGACCAAGAGRTAATCTCAAAATTCAACACCCATTTGTAGTGCATGGCAGCACAAGGGATCAGGTGAGGACCAAGAATTTAAGAAGGTACTTACAGTGCTGTAAAGATAGGGCCCCCAGGACAGCACAGAGTCTAAACAAAGAGAACAGATTTCAAACATCAAATTGACAATCAATCATTGACATGTGATTTAACTTACTTTTCCTTTATTTGTCACAATATTTGTGACAAAAATAAATGAAGATGAATTAATCAGTAAAAAAGTACTGTCAACTCAGTTTAGCCCTAAGACTACGTACCACAGAGCAGGYTCTTTATAAATCCTGCAACATCATTGATCCCTTATGAGTTACCCAGTGAAATTAATTTAAAATGACCAACACATTTTTACCAAAATGTTCTCCCCCCAACACTGCAGCACACTGCCAGAACATGGGCAGAGGTCCAACAAGAGGATGGGAATTGTCTAAACTGAACAGTATGCAGAAGTTACAAGGGAAAAACTGAGTTATAAAACAAATCTGCTGTATAACAAGTTTGTTTGTAAGTTCTCAAGGATCAGCTGATAGCAGATAGATAMGAATTTGCTTGGTATTGTCCCATGCTGCAGAGAATCTGTGAGCACTGCCCTTGCCAATCCCATTGAAGGACCAAGAGCCCTTTAATTTGCTTTTTGTCCTCCACCAGACACAAATCTCACTTGCAGCCTTGTGAATCATTTGGTGGCCACATTAAGAGCAGGATTCTTAGAAAACCCCTCRGAGGCTGTGAAGATGTGTAGGGACATTTCACCATCTCTCCACTTCAAATGCAGTGTGCTCCTCAYTGACCTTGTTCTCTGATTTTTCCTAATCTAAATACATTCTAAAGGGAGATCCTTCAGTCACTGCAAGGCTGAGTATTTCTTTTTGATTTACCAGACTCACTAGAGATTTCGTTCACTTAAGGCATGGATGGCCTGTTTGGCTGTAGGCACTCATGGAATGATTAAAACAACCAACAAAACAAAATAACAACAACAAATCATCCACAGTCTGAGGAGTTTAAACATACCCAAAGGAGAAATCCATGAGTCTCCCAGAGCAGTCCCCATAAAATTGCACTTTATGGTCCCTTTTTGAACAGCCTTTGTGAATAAGAGGAAAAACAAAACAAAACACCAAACCAGGAATCAACTTTTAGCTATTCATGACTCTAGAATCAGTCTTCTTTATGTGAAAAAAMGCAGCATTGTGAATCARGCAATAGGGACAGTGTATTCCAGAAAATAAAAGTACTTGTAGAACCCCATTTTGTAAAGTGAAATACATSCTCCAAGTACTTACCTTATGCAGCTCTAAAGCAACGCCAGCAGCCATTTTACCTCCATAAGATTCAGAAAATATGTAAAATGGKATGGTCTGGAGAGAGAAAAGCCACACAAGGAACTCGTTGGGCASAGGGCAGAAGGTACCCTTTACTATCTCCCACACCCCACAGGCCCCAGGCACCCCAAGCTGTTCACCTCTCAAACATTTAATATTTTTCTTATTTCAAGCTGCACATAAGGTTTCCATAAGGTTTGTTGGGGGAAGGTTCTCAAGCAGACACTTCAATATTTTGGAACTATAAGCAGCTGTGATCCTGTATGTGCTGCTTGGATCACTCAACAGACAATAATCCACCCCAATGTTTATCTAACTAACCCCAAATTCAAGATACAGCTTCTGAAATGTGGGATATAAGACAGTGCTTATACCTGCACCAAACACTGCCCATCTGGAAGTCTACTCCCTAATTATTTTTGAATTCTATTTAAAAGCAAAGAATATACAAAGATAAACAAAAATTCCATTCACTTACCTGGAATTCTGGTCTACACTTGAAGAATTCTCCAAGAAAAACCATCATATCAGAAACTACTGCRGTAAGGTTTTTGGCAAATAAGCTACAATCATCCACATAACTGAATCCAGTGCCCACAGGATTATCCACAAAYAAGACACTGGCTGCCTGCAACTATAGAAGGAGAAAGGTCTGCATAAAACCTCAGTTCAGCACCAGCAAAAAAAAAAACTTAGTTTTGATGGCACAGATGAATCACTGAGCCAGCAAATCCCTGGATTTGCAGAAAAATTAGGTGTAACATCAGGTCCTTCAATCTGCCCAACCTGCAACCAGAAATACACCGAAAAACTCGCAGTGATCCAGGGGCAGGTCACCTAGGGAACTCTGAGATACTTCAGACTGTTGGTAGCTCAGAGCACATATATATTGCACTAATTAAACTTCCATGTTCAGAGGCAGCTGTAATTTGTTTTCCCTTGAAGGCCATACTGGACCTGTAATTACAAGCCACAGGTTTTACACTGCCAGGCGCCCAGAAAAAAACTGTGACTGCACACAATGAAGCTGTGATCTGAATTAACACTTTCTACGATTTCCCTGCTCTGTTTTCCAGACACATTTCACAATTGCATGGAAGAGTAGACATATTTCATCAGAATAAATTAATATCTCTATYCCTTAGTTCTAAACAAGCCTATTCCTATGAACTAATTTATTAACCATAGTATTTTAGATTGRAATATTACAGCTCTCCAGAGCTTTAAATGAAATCTGTTCTCCGTGTGTTTTCACATAGGGATCACTTGCTAATACAAGCAAACAAACATTTGTAATTAGTAATTAGAAGCTGAACTCTTTACTGTACCCAGGTTGTATTTCTTGGTTTCATTTCTTTGTCTAATGGACCAATCTCTTCAAAGTTCCCATATCCACAGCCTGAAGCTCCTGGACCTCCCTGCAGGGAAATACCAAATKACAAAGAAGTTAAAAGGCAGCATGGCACAGATATGACAGATGGAAGAAAAATACAAGCAAGCCAGTAAGTAGAATGTCAGATTGTAAATTTTTCAAAATGGCTTTTGCACTACACATTAATTTGCAGAGCAGGCTCTGTTGTTCATGGTCTTTGGTTATGCACACACATCCCATTTCTGAAAGCAAGACTTAAATAGAGAAGCAGTCACCCAMTTGGGAGATTTTCTGGTGAGCTGTCTGCTATGTGAGCACAGTTTCAAAATCTTATTCCCTGAATATGAAGTGCAAATGTTAACTACCTGCTAACCATGGCTTTGCAAGTCATTAGTTTAATCAGAGTGTACAGCATGTGGGTTTCACTCTGATGAAATAACGCAGAAAGAAAAAGTCCCCAAGCAATTCTATTCAACTTCTAAAATGTACTCTGGAGAACACAGCACCACTTTTATCAAACTGGGATTGTTTTCATTTAGAAATCATCCTAAATCTCTGATCATTTTATCTGCTSTCTCTCTGGACATTGTTTAGACTGCAAACTCTCCAGGAAAGGAGCTGTGAAACCACAAGGCAAAAAAATCACTACTGCTGTATGAAAGATAAGAACCACCTCTATTATTGCAATCAAACTTGATGGAAATTGAGCAGTTGAGGATACCCCACAACTGCAGAATGAAWTCATCCTTGTTTTTCCCAACCTCAACACCTCATTCACAATACAAGGCATTCAGAACCAGGCAGTTTTGAACCTGTTTCTGTAGAGCTGCACAATATCAGATATCAGACTGAACCAGGCACAAATGGAAAGAATAATCACTTAGACGTGACCAAATCTTACCTGAAGCCACAAGACAAGAGGTAACTCTGTGAAGTCTTTGGTTGGGTTATTTGCATAGTAGAGCCACCAGAACATRTGGGCCTTGCTCCGAACCTGCACATATCCCCACAGCTCTTTGGGCTCTCTGGGCTCTTGGGGCTGCCTCAGAGCTACACCTTAAGGGGAAACAGAAATAGCAATGAGCTAGGTTAAAAAGTTCACCTTTGGGCTTTTCACTGGATTTGTTCCAAAATATTAAGTTTCAGTCCTGGGTGTGACACTTTGAAGTGCYACTACTATTAAAAAAATTACTGTAAAAGAAACTTGCCTATACTTACACCCCCACCCACAGCTGAGTTATCGTCAATGAATGAAGTGTGTAATTAAGTGCTTCCTTATCAGAGCCTGGCTTTAGAGGTGCCGCCRGAATAACAGCCCAATTGCTGGGATMATTTKTTCTTKAAGTGTTTTCAAGGCCTGGGCTCAAGGCACAGGCCCAGTAGCCACGATGGAATAACCTACACCCGCTGTAGTTTCGCTAGGGATCATAAAATATTCTGAATTGGAAGTGACCTAAAAGGATCGAGTCCARCTCTTAAAGAAACGGCCCACACGGGGATMGAACCCACARTCTTGGCGTTATTGGCACCATGAGCTGCTCAACTGAGCTCACCCCAGCACTCTCATCTGGGTGTGATGACACAGACAGAGGGTCACTTCTAAAGGAATCCAAAATATAATTTAAAGCCAATWAAGTCAGTAAAGTCAGGTCACCTTAAGCGCTCAGTCTACTGTCCATCTTGGACACGGAACACACTTCTGACATTCCATCCCTGATCCCATGGATCAGGCAGAAGGCAGCAGTGCACTGGAGAAGGAGCACTAAAGCTTTTCCAAGCCACKCCGGCCAGGCTGCGCTGCTCCCGCCGGGGCTCCCGCCACCCTCTTCGCCCCGTCCCTGCCTCCCTCCCTCCCTCCCGCCACCCCGGCAAGCGGAATTTCAAACGGCTCAGCCCGGCCCTGCCCAGAGGAGCTGTGTTCGGAGGCCCCGCTCCCGTCCTGTCCCGATCCCGGTCCCGGTCCCGGTCCGTCCCGTACCTGCCGCCAGCCCCAGCACGGACAGCGCGATCCCGGCACGGAGCGGCCCCATCGCTCCCTCAGCTCCCGCGGTCACGGGACCGGTCCCGCCGCGCCTGAGGCCCCGCCCCGCGCTCCGCCTCATCCTCCTCCTCCTCGTCCATGATGGCGGCCGGCGGGAGCCCGGTGCGGCTGCGGCTGGTGTTCGACCACCCTCCGCCGGCCAGCCCGGGCTGCGCGCTGTGCTGGCTGCTGCTGGAGCCGGGCCAGGCGCGTCTCGTCACCGACCTGCTCAGCCTGATCCGCCATCGCTTCGGCTTCAGCCGCCGCGCCCGCCTCAGCCTCTTCCTCGAGGGGGCGCTGCTGCCGCCCGCCGAGAGCGCGCGCCTGGTGCGGGACAACGACTCGCTGAGGTACGGGCCGGGCCCGGGAGGGGACAGRGGGACAGGGRTGGGGACAGCGGGACAGGGGTGGGGACAGAGGGACAGGGATGGGGACAGAGGGACAGGGATGGGGAACGGGATATCGGGATGGGGAACGGGATGGGGATGGAGGGACAGGGGTGGGGACAGAGGGACAGGGATGGGGAACGGGATATCGGGATGGGGACAGAGGGACAGGGGGGGGGAACGGGATATCGGGATTGGGACCGGGATGGAGACAGAGGGACAGGGGTGGGGACAGAGGTACAGGGGTGGGGAGAGTGGGACAGGAGTGGAGACAGAGGGACATCGGGATAGGGACAGAGGGACAGGGATGGGGAACGGGATGGAGACAGAGGGACAGGGGTGGGGACAGCGGGACAGGGATGGGGACGGACATCGAGATAGGGACCGGGATGGGGACAGTGGGACATTGGGATAGTGAACGGGATGAGGACCAGGACATCGGGATAGGGACAGCGGGACAGGGGTGGGGACAGCGGGACATCGGGATAGGGACCGGGATGGGGACAGCGGGACAGGGATGGGGCCTGTCCCAGGGACTGGACTCTTCCTTCCCTGGGCAGTGGAGTGGGATCTGGGTGCCCACGGGCACTGACACCTGAGACACCCAGAGACACCCAAGGATGTCCAACAGGGCTTCAGGCAACCAAGGGGTTGGAAATGTTCCCAAAGATGGAACGGGAGCCTGTGCCTGCAGGGAAGGGTTCCAGATTGTCCCAGGAAGAGCGGAACATCTTCACTCTAAAGGAACTTACCTGAGCTGCTAACATGTAAGGAAAAGTGTTCATTATGCTAAATGGTGGGTTTGGTTTGTTTTTATTTTTTTCAGAGTAAAATTGGAAGAAATAGTTGCAGATGATTATGAAGGAATAGATGATGATGGCTTCACTTACAYAACAAAAGAAGACAAAAAAAGGCGCAGGCACAAGCAGGATGAGGAAGAATTCTCTAGGAATGAAGGCAAGCATAAAAGGAAAAAGAAAAAGGAGAAGCATAACCTTGAGTATTCCTCTTGTAGGGAAGAGACCTCTGTAGATATTTGGGACTCTCAAAAAAGGTACACGAAAAGAAAAAGAAAGGAAGAAGTTAGTGGAAGACATAGACTTGCAGAAGGTAAGGAGGAGAGTTCTACTGCACATTCTAAAAAGCTTAAAAAAACAGAGAGGGAGAAGCAGTTGTCAACAAAAAAGAAGGACGAAAAGCAGACAAAGGCTGCTGCAGCAAAGATGGCTTTAGAACAGRCAAATGAGAGCTTATCTCTAAATTCTGGTAAAAGTAGCACCAAAAAGATCACAACACAGTCCAAGAAAAAGAGGGTGGGAGCTTCAGATTCCTCCAGCACATCGTCTGACAGTGACAGCAGTGAATTAAACATGAAGGAAAATAAATCTCATAAACCTGTAGTGGCGACACTTCCCAAAAACAAATCCCAAGCTGCTTCAAATTCTGATGTGAAAACTAATAAAGTGACTGTAAAGTCTACCTCTGAAAAGACTAAGACTGAAATTAGTAAAAATGGCAAAAAACCCCAGTCCTCAAGTTCAGATTCTGACTCGAGTACAGAGGATGAGAAGGTGACACCAGCACAAGACAGCACTGCAAAGGAAAAATCGCTGCCAAACCATGTGGTGGCTGTAAAAGCCAGCACCAAGGCTCCCAAAGCAAAGAGCTCCTCTTCAGACTCTGAYAGTTCAGATTCAGACACTCTTGTCATTAAAAAATCTGCAGCAGATGCTGGACTGGGTAATTCCATAGTAAGGAACTGCACTAAACAGTTGCCAGCCAGTAYCCAAGGAACATTTGCCAACCCAGGCCGTGGAAGGGGGCGTGGAACRGGAGAGAACTTCTGGAGAGCACCTAGGGGCCGTGGGTTTGGTGGGATGATGAGGGGCCAAGGCCATGGGAGAGCAGCAAACCCTGGCTTCTTCTATAACTACAGCAGTGAAGGCCAGAAACAGAGGCAGATAAATGAATCTGCRACAAACACCTCTGTCCTTATCCAGGTGAGTGACTGACACAGGCAGAGGTCACCTTTCTCTTGCAGCTGAACTGTACAGAAGGCCTGGAGGATGAGAGTAATTTGTAAAAGCAGAAGCAGATTTAGTGGGATATAGGTTGATGTTTTATTTACTGTAATTCCATTTGACAGCCTGAAGAAGTGCTTACRAAACAACAGTAAAGTGATTATATTACATATCTGAAAACAAAGCATGTRCCTTACTCTTCTCAGAGCTTCCTGCAATCCATACAGCATGAACACTGTCTTCTGTTTTCATTAATACAGCAACTACATCARTGGGTTACTGTTTGTTTCACAGAATCCTGTGGAGATTCCCAAGAGAGACTATAGTGTGTTACCCCTTCTTGCTGCTCCACCCCAAGTGGGAGAAAGAATTGCCTTTAAGGTAAAGAACTCTGGAAATACTGAATGTTAGTAGGCTAAAATTGTTTAATTTGCATCACYCTTAAGCTTCTGACCTAATAGTTTGTCTAAAAAAATCTCTTGTTGTAAAGCCTGGCTTTGATTTTTACAAATGTAAAAAAACACAGAAGTAAAATGCATTTCTTTAGACTTTCAGTATTTGTATATCACAAGAAATGTTGTCTCTGCTGTCACCAATGTGATTTTCTATGTAACTGTTAATTGCAAATCTTACCATAGAGATAATTACACTTTACTGCAAAATAAAAAATTAAAGGAAATTAAATCCCTACAGTTGAGGAGATGGGGATCCATCTCCCCGATCTCCTCAGACAGCCTCACCTGAACATAAATCCTTTGAAGCAGCAAGTTCTGGAAGTTCACCTGGGACCATGATTGGCATCAGATWCCAGGAGTAGGAGACTTTTCTCTTGCACTTTTCTCTTGCTGAACAAACTGTGTCTGGATGTAGGTGGAATCATCAAAGAGTGGGAAAAGTTACAATTCGTTATTTGTATTTCTTTCAACAGCGCCTGGAACTAACTGAAAATTACAGTCCTGAAGTTTCAGACTATAAGGTACTGGTTTTCTTCCTTCCCTTAATTCACTCACAGAACTACTATAGGTRATGTATGACTTAAATATTTTGAGATTGTGCAGTGTTTTTCTTTGCATCCAGTTGGCTCCACGGGCTATTCCTTGTGCAGCAGTAAAAATCAAAACTCTAGAAACTGAAACAAATTGAAAATTTGAAAGGTGTAGCAGTTATTAAAAAAAAACCCCAAAACCCACAAATTGCAAGAATTATTAATGATCATTAATATTTTAGAGATGACAAAAAATGCAGACCTTCAAGTAGAAAAAATTAACTGYATTTGAGTGTACTGCAGTTTGAAATCAAGGCAAGTTCTTGAAACTGGTGCAAGTAAAATTTTATTGCTACTTCAGGTAACTTTCTGTTTCTGGGTAAGTACTGATTTAAACTGCAGAGTTGGTGACAGCGAGTAACTTTGGTTTATTGATGCCAGGAGTTATAGATTGCTGAGCATTAATTCTCTACAGAATTTATACATAGAGACTGGGAAATTTGATAGCCAAATGTATTTATTTCCTCTAGCAGCAATCAAGTAGCACAGTGGTTGTGAATATGGAATAGTTATCCAGTGTGTCTTACCTGACTCTTTTCTTGTTGCTTTGTGAAGGAGGCAAAAATAATCGGTTGGAATGCTGAAAAAAAGCAGATTGAGCTTGAGATCCTTTCAATATCACCAGAACAACGTAGGTACCTGGGGATGCTGAGGTCTTCTTGTCATGTGCTGTCACTTGGAAAACCAAAAGTCCAAGGCACACTTCATGTTTCAGGAGTATTCCCAATTTCCTTGGGTTCATTCTCAATACACCCCTCCCCTCCTTACTCCCTCCCCAAAAAGTCTATTTCARTGGAGAAGTTCTAAGCCATACTAGTTGAATTAAAAGATGCTCAGGGGTATTTACAGAAATGAATTTTTTTCAGTCAGTTTGAGTGGTCAGCTCAAACTGTGGTTTCATTTTCTGAAAAAGATTTCATTATCTGGAACTATAGAGAAAATTGAGATCGTAATTCCACTGTCTTCAMTGGGTGTGGAAGGAGGTCCTGCAATATCAAGGTGCAGTTCCTGAGATCTGAAATGGCGAATGTTTCTAAAACTCTGCATCCTATAGTACCATTTAAGCCAAAATTAATGAAATGTCATATGAGCATTTTTCTCAGATTTCAGCAGCATATCATTGACTTTCTCTGGTGAAAGATATTATATTAGATAATTACCTTAATTTTGGTAGTAGTATTCAGTTTTACGTCAAGACTTTTTTGTTACAGTTTTAAACCTAGACACCGAGCTCAAAAAAAAAATGCAAAACTGAATGGTTTTGATCAGCTTTTGTGTTGAACATGTAAACTCTTTTATTTGTAGCTAAGGGATCTGTCTGTTTGGTTTTTCAGCTGCTAAGGAGCCAGGGAAGTTTGACCTGGTGTAYCAATCTGCAGACGGAGCGGAGCTGATCGAGTACGCGGTGCCTCAGGACACAAAGGTATGTGGGGCCTGCTCTGAGTCCTGCCCCAGCTCTGCAGAGCTGACACCTGCCATGCTTCCTGGCTCTGTTCACCTCAGGGACATTCCCTCTGTTAAAATCCATCTGTGTAAAAAAAGTGGAAGCAAAAAGAATTCTTCCTTTTTGCAAGAACGTGCGTGTTTACAACATAATAATCRCTTCGTTAATGTTATTCAATTAACTTGGTCGCAGCCACTCATCAAACTTTTTGTTTTGGGTAATGAACATCATATCTCATAGAGATCCTTTCTTACCAGCTTTTCATTTCATCACTGTTGCTCTTCCCTGCTCCTYTCCTTACCCAGGACATCAGGCAGGTTGAGGTTGCTCGACAGCATCAGTGAGTCACAGGAGGAGCTGTGATCTTGGTTCAGTCGTGCCATTGTTCAGGTCTGGGCGATGCAGAATGGCACAGAAATGGCATCTGCTGCTACTGCTGGCCCCTGCTAAGTGCTCCTGTGGTTTGTTTTCAGATAACTGAAAGCTGGGATGCGCTGATAGAGCCAAGACTGATTGTGGAGCCTGCAGTTAATGGATCCAGCGTTGAAAATGGAGCCATCTAGGATGGGAAAAAAATGTGAACAATTGTAAGGACTTGTTCTGTGAAATGCTGCCTTCTGGTTCTGAGGGTGGCAGGTGCACTGGTGGGTATTACTGTCTTAAAAAGAAGTAGGCCAAAAGAAAAACACTTTTTTTCCTTAGGCTGTGTTTTTATGTAATACAGGAAAACTTTGTTACAGGCAGTCTGATATAGGTCTGTTGGGACAGAATATTTATATCCTACTGCTGTGAGCTGCAGAACTGGAATGGTTTGATTAAAAGATAAAATAAAACCTTGTACTGTGACTATTGAAATTTCTGGGTTTGGTCAGAGCTGTATAACTGCCAGAGGTTACTTTCATTTAAAAATGAATTATAAATACTGTTGATGTGCACTTCCTCTGCCACTTCTGAGTGTCATACAAATGCTGTGACTTTGCAGTTACTTACAGAGTTCACCTGCACATGTCCAGAAAAGCCTGTGGATTTCAAGCTTCTGTAATTTTGAGGCAGATAAATAGTACTGATAACTGACAACTTTGCTTAGAACCAGTGGAATCTAACACAAATCCCTGGCAAAATTGTGTCCCACTGTTTTAATCTGTGTAGGCTCTGAAAGCCTTTTTTTGTTCGTTTTAGAGCAAGCTCTCTTTCCCTGTAAGTGCTGAAGTTTCTGTGCTGCCTTTCTTCTTCCCTTTCCAGCAGCAGAATGGGTCACAGGTGCTGGCAAGGCACTGCACTGACAGCTCTGATTATTAGCACTGAGGGGGAACCTTGTACCTCTGTAGCCTTGGCAAGTTTTACAGTTTAGATAATCCCTGACCCGGGTAGTTGACTCTTATAGATGGAAAAAACAAACCCTAGATACAAACAAACACCTGAAAAATTGTACATTATGGTTTAGCTGTCATGTACTCTGACCCAGTGCATGAATACATTAAAACACTGTGCGTTTTTGCATCAGCCCTGTTTAAATGTTTGTGAAGGAATCATTTTTGTACAAGTAAAATGAATTTGTGCATTGTGGTTCTCTTCAGTTGCCATTATTTCATGCTAGGATTTGTTTTTTTAGAGAAAAGTTAGTTAGATTCCTCTTGCAGACTGGATGAGAAAAAGATGCCAGACACAGCACAGTCATGCTCAGACAGTGGGGATTAATGGAAACATTGGTTTTCTAAGGGAAGTCGTTACTTTTTAATTCTTAGGAAGTTTGAAAAGCTAAATGCAAGTGTTTTACAGCACCTCTTGTTCCATTGTCTACTGCGARTTTTGGCCATGAATTAAATGGATGCAGAGTCACTCTGGCTGTGCCAAATGGATGATGCTGGAAAACAATGCTCTCCTGGGAGATGAAGATAAAATCTTGAGTCTTATTTACCCATTGTTAGCAAGTTTGAGTGGAACTACTGCTTCACTTCCCAGTTCAAATGAGACATGGGAAGGCAGCCCGAGGGAGCTGCTGAGAGCCCTCCCTGTCCCACCCATCTCCTGGGGGCTTCTCTGAAGAACCTGGGATGGGACAGAATGCACGTGAACCCCACAGGGTGGTGGGGAAACGCTGAACAAATGCTCACTGCTGCCTTTCTCTCCCTGGGGCTTTCCTATTTATTGCCAGCCCCTTTGCTGTGGGAGGAACATGAAGTACAATTTATCCCACTGTGCTTCTAAAGCCCTGCTCAGGCTCTGAGGGGCTCTTTGAATTTGCAGTGTCTGGACGAAGGGTTGTGTTTAGTTTAGAATCAAAGGAAATTCTCAATTGCAAGCAGAAGAGAGTAATAACTTCAGTAGTTATTTAAATGGTAACATTCAGTAATTTTTTATGTTAAAACTTTATTGTCTCTTAGAGGAGTGGTTTAGCTTCCTCAAAACCAGAATTTCAAGCCCTCTGACAATGGAGAGCTTAAATCACTCATCTGAACTCTGAACATCCTTCTGTGCTATGCTCCAAAAGCTGTAACTGAGGGTGTATATTTACCCTTTTTATTTGCATACCTTTGTGACAGTTGATAACGTGAGTGCTGCAGGAAATACAGTGAAGGTGCTGAGTCTTTGAAAGATGACAGGTTTAGTCCAGATGAGTTCAGGGAATTTGTTCACCTATGGAAAAATGAAAAATGCCAACATTAAGAGCTGCTCCTTGATCCAATCTCATGCCCAGCACAGCTCTCYAAGAACGCTCCTTTGCAGCCACTGTCAGCCATCCTCTGTCAAGGTGTTTGCATTTCCTCTGACAGTGTTACAAAGTCCTGATCAGCACATCCCAACTGCTGTAAACACGTGGCACCATGCCCATCTCCTAGAAACTCCTCCACCCTCCAGCACATGATAGAGCTGATCCCTGAACTTTTGCTCCTGTCACAGCCCTGCAGCCTCCTGTGTCCTTTCTGCACCTGTATCTGTTCTAAACAGTGACTCAGGGCCCTGTGACACACAGCCCCTCTGCAGCTTATCCTGGAGGAGAGTTTCAAGGCTGGAGGGATAACTGATGTAGGGACAAGTCCATGTTATCTGTGCAACACAGGTTTACATTGATTGTCCAGATTTAATTTAATCTTTGAGGAAGCATATTCTGTTGAGGTGGTTTCCACATTCACAATACGGTAACCTGTGTGCTTTAAAAACATTGMACTGACATCAGCTGCTGCAAACCGATGATTTTAAGGTCCTTTCCAACCCAAAGCGCTCCATGAGTCCGTAGGATCTCCAACAGCCGGGTTACCCATAGCTCGGAGCAGTTGGGCCAGTATTCGGGGGGATTTGGRGTTCGCCCCATCCCTGAGCCCCGAGCGGAGCCTGCGGTGACCGGACCGCGCTGGGCTGGCCCGAGKTCCCGTGTGCCGGGGGCCGGCCGGGAGCGGGGCCGGCAGCGCGGGTGGGCACCGCACCCCAAATGCCCCGCTGCGATTCGGAATCAACCCCGAGGCCCCGGGCACCTCCGGGTGACGCTGCCCCGACCCCCGGCTCGGAGCCCCCAGCCCGGCCGCTACCCCCGGTGGGGGGGCACTGAGCTCATCCCGAGGGTCCCGTCCCCGCCCCGGGGGTCTTATCTCCTTCCCCAGGGTCCCGTCCCCACCCCGAGGGTCCCATCCCCGGGGGTCCCGTCCCCTCCCCGAGGGTCCCGTCCCTTCCGCGGGGCTGGCCAGCTCCCAACACGGGCGGGAGCCGCAGGATCCATCCCCCGGCTGMCGCCCCTCCCGTCGGGGCGGGGACGGGACGCGTAATTTTCCGGAAAGCCCCGGTCATAGTTTCGTTTCTCGAAGCTCAGTTTTGCTTCTGCTCTCGGAGTAGTTGCGGAGTYGCGGACGGAGCGATGGCAGCGCTGGAGTCCGAGTCGGGCCTGTCGGGGCTGGAGGAGGAGCTCACCTGCTCCATCTGCCTCTGCCTCTTTAGCAGCCCTGTGACGATGCCCTGCGGGCACAACTTCTGCGCCTCCTGCCTGGAGCTCASCTGGGCCGGGCTCTCGGAGGGCTTCAGCTGCCCGCAGTGCCGGGCCACCTTCGCGGGCCGCCCGCAGCTGCAGAAGAACACGGTGCTGTGCCGGGTGGTGGAGCAGCTCCAGGGCCACGCCGGGGCCAAGGGCGAGGAGGAGGAGGATGAGGATGGGGAGGCGGCGGGGTCCTGGGCGGGGGAGCCCCCGGTGCTGTGTGACAGCTGCCGGGAGGTGCCGGCCGAGCAGACCTGCCTGACCTGCACCGCGTCCTTCTGCGCCGAGCACCTGCGGCCGCACCGCGACAGCCCCGCTTTCCGCGACCACCAGCTCTGCCCGCCGCTGCGCGACCTGCAGCAGCGCAAGTGCCCCCAGCACAACAGGCTCTTCGAGTTCTACTGCGACAAGCACGGAGCCTGCATCTGCTCCCTCTGCCTGCTCGGGCACAAGCTGTGCCCCACCAGCCCCCTGGAGGAGGCAAAAGCCGCTGCCCAGGTGAGCAACCGGGACTGGGCGGGGGTGGCTGGTGCCAAAGCACCAAATGCTCATAAAAGGTATTAAAAACTGAGAGCAGACATGACAACTGCCTCTCTCAAATGTTTTCTGGTCTCTTGTTGCAGTCGCTGCTGAAGAAGAAACTTGTGGAGCTGCATAATCAGAGTGAAAGAACTGCCCGGGCAATGAGCACGGTGAAAACGAACCAGAACCATTCTGCTGTAAGTGGGTGACTGTTCCAAGTGCTCTCAGGTTGCCTGGCATCCTTTGGCCACTGCGCGGTGTGGGTGATTGTATCCTTGTGACAGCGGCTGCGGTACTGAGGCTGCATCGGCAGCAGAAGCTGTTATTAGGAAGGAAYAGGAAAGAGTTTTGGCAGGGCCAGGCAGCTTCGTGGGAGATGGGAGTGAACACTGTGCAAGGTTTTATACCCTCACGGGAGGGTGGCACTGAGAATGGGCCCCATTCCTTGTGAGTGAAGGAGTTTTCTTTCCAAAGCACTTAGAAATGCACAGCTCTTCTCTTGCCTGTTTCAAGGAAGAGAAGCCCACATGTTCCTCGGATGTTATTGTGTAGTAGCACTGAGAATATTTGGTTCACAAACCGTTCTTCTGAAACCAGTGTCTGTCTGCTCTTGTCTGCTCCAGGAGACAGCTTCAAGAAAGAAGGAACTCATCAGCAATGAGTTTTCAGAAATTAAAGCTATGATTGAAGAAAGAGAGAACGAGATCATGAAAGCAATTACAGAGGAAGAAAAGAGAGTTTGGAATAAGTTTGATTATATTTACGGTGTTCTGGGATCTAAGAAGAAGGAAGTTGAGTCTCTCAAAGATCAGATTGAGATGGCACTGACTGAAGGTGATGACGTTCTGTTTTTGAAGGTAATGTGTCGCTTAAATGTGAATCCAATTCTTGGTTCTAGAATGCAGAATGACAAAAACCYTGTGGTCGTCCTGCTCTCCAGAGACTTCCAGTCAAACGGCAGTGCAGTGCTGTGTAAGACCAAGATGGACTGATAAATACACAAATAAAAGTGAAAGAATGCTGAAGGGGGGTGTGGCAAGTRCCCCAGTGTGGCACTGCCTCTGCCCCAGGCAGAAGGGTTACTGGGCAAGAGTCACCTCCAGGGGTGTGGCTGCTCTGGTGGAGCTTCCTTGTTGTTTTGGGTACCAGTGGGAATTGAGGCACCTGAGCTGCTGTTGGAATTTTGCCATCAGCTGTGTCTGACTGTGGCCCTAGCTCCCTTGAATTTGAGATAAATGCGCAAAGCCCACACCGTTTAAAGTAACTTGGTTGTGTTTTTCTCTGTGTGCTACAAAAGGTGGTCCTTTGTCGTTTCAGAGAGCAGCAGCCCTGCAACGAAAGTCAACAAAAGAGGCTTTCGTTCCTGTCGTTGAAATGGACCAAAATGTGATGCATTCCACTTACCAGTCTGCCATCAGCATTAAAGAAATAGTGAAAAATTCAGTCATTCAGAGTAGGGAGAAAAAAGAAGAAGGTACTGTATCACTGGGGAAATTGCTATTTTCTACTYTTACTTTGAGCTAAAATGATGGATCTTTGCTCTCCAAATATAATTTTAAAAAAGAATGCAGCAAATACAGTTAGTTAATATAAATTGTGACTTCCAGTCTCTGCAGTGCTTCATTTCCACATAAAAAAAACATTACAGTCTGGGCTAAATTAGGAGACAAAACATGCCAGTGTCTGTTTCCTGTTATCTGTACTTGGATAAACTGATGAGTATCATGATACTAMACCCTTCTGGCACAGCCCAGCCCTTCTTCCTAGAGTAATTTATGGTGTTATTATGTAGCAGGGTTAGATGTGGATTTGAGGRGAGATTTGAGAGGCCTCAGAGTGGCAGGACTCTGGTTACCCTGCTGTAAAGGTGCTGATTGTGTCAGGGTGTGGAACAAAGCTCTGCTTACCAGGTTAAGCCAAATTATCTTTTGGACTGGGGCACGGGCATGCAGTTCCCATCCCTGCCAAATATCACCTCAGTTCTGTTCACGTAACTGAAAGATAAGATGGAAAAATATTGTCTCTAATGCATGATGGTTCCTGATCATACAAACCRTAATGTAAATTATCACCATTGCAGCCAAACCTGTGAAAATGAAGGCCCCTCCAGTGGCTCATCCAAACAAAATCTCTGCTGGAAAAAAGCCTCACGGACCACGTAAGTACTAAAGAACATCATCCTCTCCTAACTATGGCTTTGCTATGAAATCAGAGTTGAAGCAGTTACCCAAGTGCTGTTTGCCGTGGTGAGGATGCAGGGGTAAGCTGCAGTGAGCACTTTGGCACAGGACAAGGAGGGTGCTTTGGGACATTTGGGGATGGAGAGCACCGAGCTGCACAGGAACAGGCGTGCATCAGCCTTTAGGAGTATCCATGTGGGCTGCTGAGAGAGACCTTATTCATGCCTCAACATATGTTCCACGAGGTAAAAAATGGCTTCTGGGAGTAGTGTGCTTGCAGGGAGCCTCGWYCCTCGGGAGGTTTCGCCTGGCAGTCAGTCACGGGAGAGACAGCTTTCCCCACTGCTCTGCAAGCACTCTGSCCCCATTGCTGGTGGGGCACATGCCCGGATGCCCGGGAAAAAAGCGCACGGGAAATAGGAGGGCGAGGTGTATAAAAGCAGCTAACTGCGACACAGTGGAGGYCATTTTCCTTTGGAATTCTTGGAAGGAGCAGGGACCCGCCTGGAGGGTCACCTTGGCCTCCCCCCGCTCCCTCGCTWTTCCTTTTCTTCCTGTGGTCCTGCCTTCCCTGTCCGCACCTGTCCTGTCCGCGTGCTGTTTCGCCGCTTCCTCAAGGCAGCTCAACCCTGCCACAACCTCGTGTTTGCTGTCTTCTCGACAAAGCCGAGAACCTCCGCCTGCAACAGCCCGCAGCAGCCAGCCCACCCACAGCCGTGTGTCCGGCAGTGCCCACATCAGCCAGCCCGCCAAGATCCGTGTGTCCGGCAGTGCCCACAGCCGTGTGTTTAGTGGTGCCCGCAGCCCCAGCCTGGCCGCAGCCCCAGCCGTTTGTCCGGCGGTGCCCACAGCAGCGATCCCGCCCACAGCCGTGTGTCCGGCGGTGCCCGCAGCAGCCAGCCCGCCCGCCCATAGCCGTGTGTCCGGCAGTGCCCACAATAGCCAGCCCGCCCAAAGCCGTGTGTCCGGCAGTGCCCACAGCAGCCAGCCCGCCCATAGCCGTGTGTCCGGCAGTGCCCACAGCAGCCAGCCCGCCAAGATCCGTGTGTCCGGTGGTGCCCACAGCAGCCAGACCGCCCGCCCATAGCCGTGTGTCCGGCACTGCCCGCAGCCCCAGCCTACCCACAGCAGCCGCAGCTATCTCACGAGTGTGCCCGTAGCCACGGCATCGTGTTCTCCGCCGATGGGAGGGACACGCAGCCGCTGCTGTTTGGAAATCGCGCCCAGCCGCCTCAGGAGCCGCGCAGGCTCCTCTGGGTTCGCAGCTCACACGCTCCTTCTGCCGAGCTGACATCCACGGGCTGCCCGGAGTACAGCAGTAACAATCTGTCTGCTATTCTGTCTCTCTCCGTTTCTCTTTTTCCCCCTTTGTTCCCTTTTCTATCCCCGCTTGGTAGGAAGTKGYWGGAACACTTGCCCTTCTTTATCAATAAACAGTTCTCAGATATAATATTGCCGCGTTTGCGCTTTATTTTTTGTCCAAGAAATCTATTAAAAGATTAATAGACTCCCTCTTTCCAAGCGGGACGGGATAGCTGCAAAGCAAAGCAGAGCCTCCCCACCCTCTGGTTCTTGCAGGTTGTTTTCTTTTTTTTTTTTTTTTAGATTTGTACTAAACACCTTTTGGCTTGTTTGCTAGATTTGGATGTTTGAGTTCTGCTTATGATCTGTTCATGTTCTGTGTTTTTTCTTCCTCCCTCACATCTACCAAGAGAAAAGCATTCCTCAGGCTCCCACTTCGCATAAGGAGACAGATACCAGTAAGTGGTGATTAAAGGAACCTTACTCCAGCATTTTTCTGGCCACAACCTGCCTGCAGTCTGGGGCTGGGRTGATGGAGGAGTCTTCGTGGGAGGTTACACTGGGACCTTTCGGTTTTGTCCAGATACCAGAATTAACGGGCATTGTAGCCTGTTTGGAAGATTTTCCATGTTTTCACTTCGAAGTAAATGCAAGTGTTAAAAAACAACTTCTGTTACTTCCACAGAGCTCTTGGCACATGGTCCGGTGCTGGGGTGGAGCAGTCAGGGGGTTGTGCTGGGGAAGCTGCCCTGGAATGGAGCTGCAGCTGCTGTTGCTGCACTGACAGCTCTGCTGTAAAAAGGAAAGAAATAGTCAGCATTCCTCATGGGAGCAGGAGCATTCCACATGCCTGAGCACACTGCTCCTGGAGGGGAGATCGAGCTTCTTCCAGGGTTTTGACCCTGTGAAACGGGAAGCAAATGGAAGGCTGTGCAGCTTTCCAGTGTGGGGGTATTGGTACATGGCTTCACCATGTTGGACTATCAGCTCTCTGCTGCTGCAGTTTCAGAAGAGCCATGGTGATGATGTTACTGCTGACATTGTCTTTGCCAGTGACTTTTGTCTCCCAGTAGAACTCACAGTTTACTTTTCTCTTTTCCCCCCCTCCAGAAGAGAAAAAGAAAGCTGCTAAAGTTGGTGAGTTTAAASTTTCATCATGCCTATTCTAATTTTCATTGACTGCTCTTAAAATGGTGATTAAAATACCATAAAAAATAMGGTGGTCATTAGTGTTGGTGTTCTGAGCAAAAGTTCAGCTCTTGCTCTGAGAAGGCTTTTGCTGGCCACTGAGAGAAATTGTCCAGAGTGGGATTTTCAAAACCTGACATGACAGTGAACAGCCTGAACTAACACTGAAGTTGACCCTGCATGGGCAGGAGGCTAAACCAGATCAGCTCCACCCTGGGTGTGTCTGTGTTGGTGTTAAACATATGAAGTCGCTTTCCACCTGGCCAAACTCTCTTTTCTTCTGTTGACACAGCTCCAAACAGCACCCCAGCCACCCCAGCTGCTGCTGCTGCTGCTGCTGAAAATAAAGAGCTCCTGGACAGCTTCCTGAAGAAACCCAGAGAGGAGTTCTTGCAGTGTAAGACAYCCAACTTTACACTCCTTAAAAATGAACTTTCTGCTCTTATTGCACTGGTATTACGTGTCCTCTGTGGTTACCTAACAAAAATACTTCTGAGGGGGTTTCATTTGCTTAATAGGTTGCTACAAATGAAGGAAATTTCTGGAGAAAAAGGGGGCAGGTGGTTTCTAAGTGATTCTTTTGCCAGAAAAATCGAATTCAACTTCAGCATTCATGTATCTTTATGAAGATAAAGGAAGTTTTTTTAGGTAGCTTTGGTTTCCCTCAAAATGACAGCTGTAGGGTATAGCCTGGAAACACAGTGAAATGCACTGGAATCTTTTTTAACAAAATGCAGGTTTTTACATGAGGATGGCTTGTTAAGATGCAATTCAACATAGCATGCCTTTTGCTGCTGGATCAGCAATCCCCTCCTTTGCCAGGGTGTATTTGGGTGGCCAAGGGATCCTGTGGGGCTGTAGGGAGAAAGAAAACTTGCCCTCTCTCTGCCTCCTGTGTAATGCAGAGCTGCAGTTGGACCCAGCAGCTTTTCCTGTGGCTGTAAGAACTGAGGAGAGCAGAGCTGGGAGATAAACATGGAACAAATGCTGAGGTGGGACAGGATAAATAAAAGCACTTTGTTCTTCAGTACCTCCACACAATTTCTGTCGTTGCAGATGCTGCCCACATCACGCTGGATTTCAACACAGCCCACAACACCATGGTTCTGTCTGACAACTACACCAGGATGTCCATCTCAGACACCTTCATGGGTCACAAGTCCCACCCCCAGCGCTTCGTTGATTTTCGCCAGGTTCTGGGCTTCCAGTGCTTCAAGAGAGGCGTGCACTACTGGGAGGTGGAGCTGCAGCAGAACAGCTTCTGTGCCATCGGTGTCTGCTACGGCAGCATGGAGCGCCAGGGCCCCGAGAGCCGCCTGGGCAGGAACAGCAARTCCTGGTGCATCGAGCGCCTCAACTCCAAAATATCATCCTGGCACAACGATGTTGAGAAGTGTTTGCCCAACTCAAAGGCTACCAAGATCGGGGTGCTGCTCCACTGCGAGGGGGGCTTTGTGATCTTCACGGCGGTGGGGGAGAAGCACAGCCTGATCTATAAATTCAAAGCCCAGTTCACCGAGGCCTTGTACCCGGCCTTCTGGCTGTTTTCTAGAGATGCTGTTCTCTCTCTCTCTCAAATGAAACAGTAAGGTGTTGTATCTCACTTGTATCTTTAGTTGACTTACAGTGCATGTAATCTGTCTCAAAGATTGATTGTTTGATGCAAAAATCATCATCTCAGTTAAGCAGTTTGAGAAATCTGCCAGTTCTTTCATCTGAATTGCTAAAGCCTTTAGGTAGTGATTYAGCAAAATGTTGGTGATGGTAAAAACTACAATGGTAGTAGTAAAAACTACAATTCTGATTGCCTTAAAATCGAAATCATGACATGAAACCTTGTGAAATGTCATCAGTGGCTGCTGTGGTTTGCTGTAAWGRAGCCACAGAATTAATGTGYTCCACTGGTAACAATAACCCCTTCSAGAAAGAAACARGAAATTCAGGGCCCAGGCTTTGAGGGAGGTTCACTGTTGCCTTTTTTCCCTTGCACAGACTGTTGTCCATTCAGGGGTTCTCGGTGTGTAATTCCATGAGATGCTACAGAAAGAGCTGTTGAAATCAGTAAGTTCAGGTCTTATGGCTCTGAGTTATAAAAGCCAAAAWGATAAATCTCATCACAATGGAACTGCAGAGGCTTCTAGAATTAATGGGGAAGAAATGGTGCTAGAATCACCAGGAAACAGCCTCAGCCCAGACACTGGGAATACACCAGAGAGTTTGCAGGAAGACATCCTGCAGAGCAATGGTGTGCATCCTGTGGTGAAGATGATGGGATGAAGCATTCTGTGTCATYTTCTGACCCAGACCATGCTTCACATCTTCACACTGAAGCTCTTCAGTGCTGGGTTTTTTGGTGTGTGCTGAGGAGTTCTGGGGGTGCATTCTTGGTCTCAGGGTCTCCTGTCATAAAGCTTTTCCTCTTTATGGGGTGGGATATTCTCTGCTGGTGTATCTTCAGCTTGAAGCAGGGACTCCTGTTGTAAAGCTTTTCCTCTTTTTGGGGATATTTTGGGGTGAGATATTCTCTGCTGGTGTATCTTTTGTTGTTCAGGTGGTAGAAACGGGATTTCTTGCATGTTTCTGGGACTACAGTTTGAGGAGTCTCAGAGTGCAAGWACCTGGGAAATGCTGATTCCTCTGTGTATGAAGCCTGTGGGCAGACAGGATTTGACAYACAGGGAATGAGCACAAAGGAGAATATACACCCATTCCCCCTGGGATGGAATTTTTAATTCTCTTGGTGTTCTTTGGGTTCTGGTACGTCTTCTGGAATTCTCACCAGGTACAGAGAAATCTGTACTGACCACTTCAGAATGAACTCTAGGCAATCAAGGTATTTGGATCTCATTGGGCCTGTATCCTGTTGGTTCCTCTGRACTTACTGTGCCAGCTCTTACTCCTTGTAGCCCATGGGAAGCTCACACGAGAGCCYTCCTGGGCTTGGATTTGTTAAACTCCCCTTACAGGGCTTGGTGAAATAGAACACCAGGCCACTGCTGGCAGTTTGGCAGGGAATTGTTAGAAGGCTTAAAAGAACCTCTCTGACCACATTCCACATTGGCCAAAGTGCTTTGGAGAGAGGCTCTCAGGAATTCAGGCTTGGTGTCCTGTTTTCACTTGGTTTTTAAACTCCAAGTGCTTTGTCAAGGATAGCACAAGTCTGATTTCTTCCAGTTCTTTGGTCAGAATAAGATGTGGAATTGTTGGTGGATCTCAAAGTGCCATGGCTGTCTTTGGAGCAGTTCTGCTCTCCAAAGGGTCTCCTCTTTCCAAAGCACAGCCGGCACTAAAGCTCCCAACCTGAGCAGAACCCTTCAAAAGGTGCAGATGAGGATGTGTCCTGATGGCAGCCAATACTGAATGACAAATGGGGTTTTCTGCCCTCCCAGTTTTTCAGGAGTGAAAGGTGAGAGCAGTTCCCTCTGGGAAATCATTTCTGTGCTTGGCTGTGTCCCAGGGCTGCGGATCCACTTGTCAGGGTGCTGCAGGAGTGCTCTGTCCCTCCATCGAGGGCAAAAACTCCAGCAGCCCGTGCAGTGGGGAAAGTGCCCATCCTCTGCTCCTYGCTKCTTGACTTTAAAGAGGTGTCAGTGSTGAGTCTGTGAGCTTCTGTAGCCACGGCCTGGAGTGACACCCAAACAAAGCAAAAAGCAGCTTTTGTTCTGCCTCGTTGGGTACAGAGGGATTCCTGCCATGGGACATCGGGGTGAGGTGTCCTGGATAACCAGGCAGTGAATCAGGCCTTCTGCTGGGCTCCTGATCCTCTGTTTTGCTTTCTGTTGTGCTATAAATGACTAGAAGTCATAGAATGAAGTTCTGTTAATTCAGAATTTACAGAATCWGAGAATATTCTGGGGTTGGAGCGGACTGCAAGGATCACTGAGTCCAACCCTTAGGTAAATGTCCTATATGGGGATGGAATTKGTGACCTTGGCATTACCAGAACCAATCTCTGGGTTTCTGAAAAATATTGTTTGGGTTAGCTTCGGATATCTTGGATATATAGGTGTATTAGTATGATATAACATTAGGAAAAATATTAGTTAGAGCACGATAAATGATCATTTAAAAACCTTTTAAACACAACTGAAACGGTTTTACTTGGGTACCTATCAGAGCTGCACTGGTTTTAAACAAAGACATATATAGAAGCATAATKTTAAACTGTAATTCTCTTTTTAGTATTACAAAGAATGCAATTTCGTCTAGAGAAAGAATTAATTCTGGTGTTAATGACCCCATGAGCAAGTGGGTTGATTTGCATTTTAACATACAGGTGAGAGTAAATTGAGAAAGAGTCGCTGAATGAAAATAAACAAATGTTTAAATTTAATCTTTTCTTCAATGAAAGGCATTTTTCTTCAGTAATACAGTGTATTTAGAAAAGGAATGCTTCTGTAGTTACAAACCTGTGGATTATAGTGATACATCAGCCCTGCATTTTGATCTGTATCAGCTGTGTTATTGTCTGTAGCTGTGCCAGCCACATCCCTGCCAGGGCCACCACCACAGATTTTGTGCCACCTGGTCCATGTGCCTGAATGGTGATAGTTTAAATTCAATAAATATTCAATAAATATTCATGGTTAACCCTGACTCTGAATGTTCTGTTCTGTGCTCGTGGTCAAAGCAGTGAGGGAGGCAGAAKTGAAGACACAACAGAGTACAAAGAACAGGGGTTTTAGTGCATCACTGGGTTATAGGGGAGCTRGGGAAGGGGAAAGCACAGCTGGGGTTTGTTCTGAACTGCCTCCTTCCCCTGAACTACACCCCCGTTATCAGTATTTGCATCCTCACTGAGGGTCAGGGGAACATCCTGAGCAGTAAACAAAACTGGAGGCCTTTTTGGGTGAGCAAAACCATGGTCATGAGCTGGAGGAAGATGGACAATTAAGGACAGAGTGTGGGATTGCTTGAAGAAGCTTTAGGTGAGATCCAGCATGTCTGAGGAACAGCTGGAAGCAGCAATGGGTGATGATTCCTGCTATAACCCAGTGAAATCAAACTGAGCAGGGTGTGGATGCAAGCTGCTGCCTCCCAGCATGGCCAGGGGAAAACAACACAGCAGGGACCTGCTCTGGTGCCTCCACAGATTTAAACATCAGCCATGAAACCAGTTAAATATTTCCCTTTCCACTTCAAGGTCTCCAARAGAGCTGGGCTGCTGAAGGTTTTTGGGGAATAAACTCTGAAGAGTTCAGAGGTGTTGCTTGATCAGTGGGACAGGTACAACAAAAACTGTGGAGAGGAAAAATCCTCATCTTTGCTCCTCATCCCAGGATGTCCCTGGGATTAGGAGGTCACTTAGGTCTGCTCAGTTTCCAAAGACAGACAAAGAGGGATTTTAAGCCTCTGTGAACTTGACTATGACTACAACCAGGGTTTTGAGCAGGTGCTGAGGCCCCAGGGAAGTCAGCATCATACTCATGCAAGGTCTGTTTTCTTCCTTGCTAATGACATTTCCTCTTGATTTAGCTTTGTGCTCACTTTTTCACAGCAAAAAGAACAACTGACTTAGATTCCAAATTGTACTCTGTGAACATAYGTAAACAATTAATCAGGACATTTCCTATTTTAATAAAATTGCATTTGATTAGTGTTTAACAGACTATATCTATACCCAGTCTTCTGACTCCCTCCCCTTTCTTTCCCCCTTCCTAATTCCCTCCCAATTAAGTGGCTGCTGCTTCTCAAATACTCAACATGTCCGTTAAAAACGTGTCACAGTGTGGTCATTGTAAAGACTCCTATTCAAACCTCATGTCATTCAGACTTTCATTGGCAGCTATTTTGTCCCATAAAAAAGTTCAAGACAGCAATTTGTGAATCTTGCTCAGCCAAGTAGAACTGTGGAAAAAAAGGAGTCATTTCAAAAGTCAATTAATTGTGGCCTGTCAAGAGTGCTCCTCATTCAGTTTTCTCCAGGCCCTGTCATGGGCTCACATCTGTCAGCCCCGTGGTGCCCAGGCTGCAATCAGATGCCATTACATGGGAAATAATGGGTTTATTCACACCATTTATTGGCCTCTGTGTGGCAGACACATTTGTATATCATTTTACGGTGTAGCAATTCCATTTACATAAAATACTGGCAATTATGTGAGGCTGGCTAAAGCGTCCCAAGGGAGGATGGGAGGAGCCACCATTCAAATAATGAAAGCTAATGGAAAAGAGGCAGATAATTTAGGTGAAAATACCATCATGAGCAATTCTTGATCTTTAGTTCAACAGAACTTTAGGGAGGYGAGTCACTTCCATTTTGTCTGTTTGTAATAAACTCCTTAATGTTTTTCAATATAAGTAAAAGATCATGTACTTTTTACAGGATCTACATTCCATTTTAAAAATCAAGTAGTTCTTGGTGAGGAAGAAAGGGCTTTTYTTTTGCTTTAGAGGTCAGCTCTTTCTCCCCAGTTTAGAGAGAGTTTCCACATTTTCCTGTAAAGAAGAAAAATCAAGCAGAGAATGGGGAGAAGAGAAAAATATCTAGAGAAAAAGCATATAATATGTGCACAGAGCAAAAGATGTTAGAGAAAATTTTGTTGTACAGGCACAGGCTACTTTCTAACTTCCCTCAAAAGACTKTCTTTCCAAAATCCAAAGAAGCAAAGAAGATGTAAAGAAAGAGAAATTAATGTGGGTTAAAAGTCAGAGTTCACAGGGCTCACAGAGCCATTATCTTCAGGAAATTCTCCAGATTCCAGTTTGGGTGCAATTGTTAACATTAGTCCTTGGTTTTAACTCTGCTCCAGATTCAACATCCAAAGACTGGGCTGAGATCTTCCAACTCCCCGGTGTCTGTGGTGTCAGTCCAGCTCAAACTCACACGGGTTGGCTCCCCTTTCCCTGGCAGCCCGGTAAACCAACATGAAATCCTTAAACCGAGGAGCACAGCCCAGCCAAGCTTCCCCGAAGTGTTCRTTGCCGGTGAAGAGGAAATCTCCCCCTCCCTTCTTCACCTTGCACTGCAGCAGGGTTCGGATGGGGCCTYGCCACTGCCCACTCCCCTCCTCCTGCTGGAAAATCCGGTTTTTCTGCCTGTAGACCCTCTGGACGCTGACATCCACCCGGGACATGTGGTTCTCTGAGTCGTGGGAGACATTTCGGATGGATCCTTTCACCACTGGAGGTGAAGAAGACAAGAGCTGGTTATGGGGCAGCAGGAGGACAGCTCAGCTACCAGAGCTCACTGGATGAAATAACTTAAATGCAAATACAACACTCAGAAATCTTACAGTAACTTTATTTAAAGCCTTATTTAAAAATCTCTTGSCATAAATGTACCTTCTGCCAGAAAGATCCTAGCTGGGAGGAAAACATAAGAAGCCTCTGTTTGRAAAGCATCAATCACATAGAGAATGAAGAATCCCATCTGACAGGTGTTTGCTGTCCTGAAGCCACCTTATCGTTGTGATTGCCCCCCTTTTTCACCGTAATCAATTATTCTTCTACTGATTTAAAGAATTTCTATCCCATATCCCTAAAAGGCTCAGAAACATGACACCATTTGAGCTGAGCCCCTCAGCAAGAGGTTACATCACCACCCTCCTGCCACAAACTTCACTCGTGTACAGAAAACTCAACAAGCCAAGATGCAGAAAACCTTATCTTTGAAGCTTCCAAGAACGTCTTCATTTAYTGAGATCTCCAAGGGAATCCAGGATTTTGTGTACCAGACGCCTCTGCTCTGTCTCCCTCTGTGTGATCATCTCTACTCAGATGCAGCCAGGTCTATTGACAAGCTATGATGTGCTCGTTCCTGATGCTCCAAGTTGCTCCTGACTGCACACCCCGATCCCAAGAATAACCATGAAGCCCCCATTCACTCCCAGGGTCATTTACACTTTCATTAGCAGCTATTTTCTCTAATCAAAAAAGCTGATGAGAGCGATTTGTGAGCKCGGGGCAGGGAAGTCAGGCCATAAATAGAGTCAGTTCAAAGGGCTGTTCCTTCTGCTCTGCTGCTGCCGGGATTGTGAGAGCCCCCTTTGTGTGCCTGGGCCCCCACATCTGTCACTCCCCGGTGGCCCCGGACTCGGGAACCCGCACCTTCCTGCAGGACAAACAACGGGCTGGGAGACCAATTAATTTAGAAGAATTAAAATTACCAGCTTAAGGGAAACACCCTCTGCACTGGGGTTGTATCTGTGCCGTGATGCTAGTGTCTGATTTTATCAGCCTCAAATTATGGCAAGCCCTGGTAGGAAAGCAGTGATTTAGTGGGGGTTTTAAATATTGGAGTTTGTAATTTTGTTTCTTTATGTAGGTGCATTTATGACAATAGAAGTTTGGCTACATGGAGAAGCAGCTCTACAGCTTTGGCCTGATCAAAGAGGKACAAGTGTGCATGTAGAAAAACATGGGAATAAAATTAACCAATCATGATTGAAAAGAAAAGATTACATTACATTATTAAGAAAAAGGGAAAAAGCTTTTAATGTATTATTCGATCACTATTTCTTATTAGTAATAATTTCTTTTCTTATGGACTATTAACTGTGCTGCCTTCTCATAAGGCATGAAACACAACCAGGATGTCACTGAAGGAAGTTTCAATCACCTGAAATCTTTGGCTAAGTTTCAAACAACTCACTGYCTCTGCAGAAAAAGAACTGGGGAGTGTGCAGACTGTGAGGGGAGAGAAGGCATATTCATCCGTGGAATAAAAAGAAATAGGGACAAAGGGAATAAAAACGACCACACCMAGCACACACAACCTGTGTGTACATCTACAACGCGTGACTCGGCTCCACCTGTGAGCCAGCASCCCATCTGTGAGGATTATTCACAGTTCAGTTTTATAGTTCATAACCTTTTCCCCTGCAGGAAATGAGGATATTGGCAGCAAAGCTTCTCCCTTTAGGTTTCACCTTGCCCCTCCATTCAGGTTCTTTTTCAGTTTCTTTCCCGGATCAGAGAGTAGAGTCACACCATTATTAAAAAATAATAATAATAATAATAAAAGCCACAAACAAATCCAAATAATCAATATAAATTAAAGGCAGAATGACTCCCTTTAGTCACTTACCAAAATCACTGCTGCAAATGGCCATGAGGAGTTCCACGTTGTCACAAGGACGGCACATAGCTAGAAAAAACAGAGCGGTTACTTAAAACACTCTAGTCCATCTCATCGCAAAAACACCGGTGAATTCAGAGAGGAAATGGGGCAAAACTACCAGCTTGAGGAGCATTGTGATCAGATGGAAACCAAAATTCCAAATCTGGTGTTATGCAAATACAACCACAAGAAATAAGCACAGAGGGTGTTCTCAGTGATGGCACTGCCGGGCAGAACGCCCTCCTCCGCAATGCCAACCCCCCATCCCAAAACAGCCTCGATCACCAGGGATGCACCGGCTCCATGGGGATCAACCCCACCTTCGATCTGCCCCAAAAACGGAGCCCCTGCTCTTACCTTCCGCCAGGGCCATCTTTTTGAAGTCGGGGCCGGCGGCGCTCTGCTYGCTCAGCAGCTCGTACTGGAAGCTGGCGGTGCGGCGGCTGATGTCCCTGTGCGGGCTGGCCTGCAGGAACAGGGCCACTCTCCGGGCCGTGTGGGCGCTGAAGCAGGACACATGGTGGGGCCGAGCCCCCTGTGCCTCGCTCAGCACCAGCTGCAGATGCCCRGCTCGCTCCACGTACACGCTGGCGCCCTGGAAGTCGCGGGCGGGTTTGATGCAGAGCGTGCTGTGCTGGGCGCTGGCCAGGTTGGGCTCCAGCAGCACTCGCAGGGCTCGGGCCGGGTACATCCACTCCAGAGAACCCTCGGTGCAGCGCAGRTGGACCTGCTCCACGGCACGGGAGCGCGGCTCCCGGCTCAGACCGCTGTGAAACAGCATCGGGAACCGTCAGCARCGGGGCTGAGAGAAACCACTGCAGCCCTTCCTCACCGCCTGGACACGCAGATCGCACTCCCGACTCTCCCATGACTCCGAAATTGGCTTCCTCCAGCTGAGTTCTTTCCCTTCCTCCCCTTGGATCTCAGCGGCAACAACACATTCTGTCCCACAGAGGGACAGGGATTGCTCACTCCTAGGTGAACGAGAAGGAGCCCCAGCCCCTTTSACCCRCCTGCAAATCCATGCCGGGATGCCYGCAGCACCCAGAGAAATGCCAGAGGGCAACTTCTCACTGTTAAATAGCTCGAAACTTTTCCTTGTGGCAGGACTGGCCAACGCTCATCTGTTCGGAAAATCCCGTGGGTGGGTGGATGGGTGGATGGATGGATGGATGGATGGATGGATGGATGGATGGATGGATGGATGGATGGATGGATAGGGGCAAAAGCTGCTGACTCGCAGCAGGAGCTGCACAGCGATGTTACATCTGAAAAACTTGCTTTAAAGATCTTCTTTCTAAAATTATTTTTAATCATTCCAATATAAACTCATCAAGAAAAAGTCTTCGATAAAAAGGGTTGTGCTGGTCCTTCTCCTGAGCTCTTGCTCAAGCTCGTGCTACTCCACTGCTTTCAGAACAGTTACTTTCACTGAGCTCACTTACGAGAATCAAATCCGTGCTAGCAAAATTCGTTAAAAGAAGAGTAAAAAGGCAACAAAACAGAGGGAAAGGATGTAATACTTCAGAATATTGCGAACATTTGTGGTCTATTTCCCTGCCAGTGACTGAAGCAATGACAGCACGGCGGCACCGCAGCCAGCGCTGCGAGCCCCGGCCGCTCCCTCCCGGCGCGCCCCGGTGCCCTGTGCCGGTACCCGGTTCCCGGTGCCCTGTGCCGGTTCCCGGTGCCCTGTGCCGGTACCCGGTTCCCGGTGCCCTGTGCCGGTTCCCGGTGCCCTGTGCCGGTACCCGGTTCCCGGTGCCCTGTGCCGGTTCCCGGTGCCCTGTGCCGGTGCCCCGTTCACGCAGCCGGTGCCCGGTTCCCGGTGCTCTGTGCCGGTTCCCGGTGCCCCCAGCCCCGCCGTGCACACCCACCTGCCCCTCCAGCTGCAGCGGTCGGCGCTGCCCGGGCCGGATCCCCCCGCCAGGAGCAGCAGCAGCGGCGGCAGCAGGGCCGGGAGCCCGGGCGAGCCCCGCACCGTGGCCATGGACCGGCGGCTCKGCCGGCAGCGGCCCGGGCTTTATGCGGGAGGAAAAGGGGTGGGCTGGGGGTGCCCGGGGGGCGGCGGCCGCGCCCATCCCCGACCCCCTTCCCTTCCCATCCCCGCCCCGCCAGCCCCGGCAGAACCCCCCAGCACTGGCGACAGCAGGGACACCCCGCCATCAGCCTTCCCTCTTCGCACCGCTGTCCCCATCGCCCCCTTTTGTCTCTGGAATATTTAGAAGTGATTAATAACAGTTTCTCATCGCCGTGTAGGAACAAACAAAAATCGTGTCAACATAATCAAAGCGAACTTTGAATGAATGATGGAAATTCAATAGTTTTAACTTCTGCTTTCATGATTATCTTTCAGGGGTCCGTGCACAAGAAAGCTCCAGGGCCCACGATTATCATGCTAAAAGCCGGGCTGTGCCCGCCAATAATTAGATTTCTATATGCATTGCCCTTTCCATATTTTCAATGAACGACATGGGGAGCTGCTCTTTTGCAGGTCTGGGAGAGCGAGGCTCTTTTCTGCAGCTCTTAAGCGTGGAATCGGGATTTCGCGGCCGGCCGGGGACAATGGCTCTCGGCACGGCTGGGTGGCACATCCCGGGATCCGCAGGGCATTGTTCCCCGCTCAGCGCCGCAGMGCCCGCGGTCGCCGGGACCCTCCGGCCATCTGTTACCTTGCGGTYACCAGCGTGTTCTCACATTGCCCACAGATGCACAGGCACAGCGGCAGAGCTTGCCTGCAGCCCTTCTGCAAGGAGGGATTTTCCTGAAGAAGAAAATAGATTTGTTAGAGGASATACCCCGAAACCAGAGCTTTAGTCCTCAAGTGTCTGACACCGGACTCCCTGAATCCTGTTTCGACCCACTTTACTGTTCATTCGCAAGAAATTTCTCTTTGTACTGTTACTATCAAAAAACCCCCAGAATTTCAGCCTTGACTTGCACTTTGCTAATGCTTTTCCCCACACATACCTGCGCTGTGACTCCTTCCACAACTTCAGGCTAAAGTCTGCCTCAAGCTGGTGCTGTGCACGGCTCACTCCAGCAATTCTAAAAACATTTAAAGATGCATTAAACCTTGATGGTTATCAACGCTAGTGCCAGTGATCCTGAAAGCTCTGTGAACTATTGTCTTACCCATCTAAGAAAAACCTGCTGAATATCTATGCTCTGACCCCATCCTGAATGGAAAACAACACACAAATAGTCTTTAAAAGGTTTGATTGCAGCATAATACAGGAGCTGAGAGGCCAGAGCCCTTCTCTCTTTTGTGCAAATGAGACCGAGGAACAGAGGAGAGGACTTGGGGAGGGAACTGACACTATGATAAAGTGGCCCCACAGGAGGATTTATTCACTTCCAAAAGCCCAAGCGAACCCATCTGCTGCCATCAGGAGAAAGCATTGAGCCACTTGATCCCTGAACATCTCCCAGCAGTAGCATTTCCCCGCGCTGGGGAAAGCCCCGTGCGTGTTTTCCTGATTTGCTATCAGCAGCAYCTCCCGCTCCATCTCCAGTTTCTACTGACACCAGAACATCTCCTGTTAAAACTCTTAAAACTGCTCGTCACAGACAGGACATTTCCATGGCTCCTTCTGCTCTTGGAGTAAATAATGTGCAGCATCAGAAGCTGTTTTAAGATCCCAAATCAGTGGCAACAGAGGTGAGAAGGAACGATCTGGAYATTACACATTATTATTGAAGCCTGGGGGTTCAAACCATTCTCACACCAACTCTAAAACCACACAAACTCAGCTCCTCCTCGGGGTGCAGAAGGATGAGCCAGGAGCAGGSCAGCAGCTGCTGGGAGATGTTTACAGGTTACCAGTGTTGGTTTTACCTCCAAATAACATTACCACTCTGTCTAGAATTTTCCCCATGTATTGAGGCTTGAGATGTTCAGATTTTGGAGCAGGAATGTGGGGCAGAAGCACGGCCACAGAATTCAACAAAACAGTTTTGACCTCAAAATGCCCAAGCTCATCCTGCTGTGGCCCTCCCAGAACCAGGCACTCATCCTCATCCCAGGGCTGTTGCTGAGTTGAAAACTCACATTTGCTTTCATGCATAGTGAGGAAAAGGAAAAACTGAGTTTAAATGCTTTAATCCACGCACTAAAATCTACAGAGAAATACAGCACGAATAACAAGACAACAAACAGATGCATTAGGAAAGTCAGTAACAGAGCCAGTGCGGTGAAAAATCTGTATTTACAAATTTTTATGAAGAACATGGAGCAGATGTTTCTCAAAAGAGACTTCTGGGAGCGTAAGTCACAGAGACAGGCCATGGTACAACCAACTGRAGTTTCCCTGTGTTAATGTGGAGTAAATTCACTGAAGCTGAAGGTTCCCAGGCAGAATCTGACCCAAATCACACATCGTGCCCATGGAATGATTTCAACAACCATCACAATTTTTTTTGACACACAATCACGCTCACTGTGCCTCTGCAGCAAATAAAAAGAGACTTCTCAGCTTTTATAACAAAGATTTTTACAGAATTACCTCCTTATCCTCCCATTTCAGCCTGCCTYCTTTTCAAAACCAAGGGAAAACCAGTTTGGGGTATGAAAACATCACTTGATGTCAAGGAAAAATCAGCCAATTTAGATTTAATCATTTATTTTGGAGATTCAATATCATGTTGGCCAGTTCTTTCATTGCAAGTAAGATCTCATTCCCTGTGCAGCTTYGAGCCCTGGGGTTTGCTCTGGGGTTTTGTTCTCTGAGGGACAGAAATGGTGCAYAGGGTGTCTGCTTAGGTTTGGGCACTAAATACAGATCTCAAACTGCACCACAAGGAAACAACAGATCTGTCAAGAGTCCACTGATCASTCCTTTCTTACTGCTCCGTGATAAACAAAAAATACTGAATCCCAAGCGCCACCTCTGTCAGTGGAAAAAGGCCAAAAATGTTATAAATTCTATTTCTTGAACTATGACTTGCACTTTAAGCTCCTATTTTCCTTGTTTAGTGCCACTTTAGCACACATAGACAAACACGTTCAATACAAATCCCAGGTGGCAGCATCACTGCATGTGAAGCTAAAGAATATTTTTTTTTAACTGTTAACAGGCTGATATTTTCTTGCAAGTAGTTATTACTGATTGAAAGTTACAGCTCTTAAAAGCAACATTTTTACAATATTCTGATCACTAATTACTAAACAGCTACTATACATACTGAAGTTACCAGCTACAAAAATAAAAATCCATTCTGTTTAACTACAAAAATCCTAGAAAGAGAAGATGGCTGGAGGTACTCGAAGGATTACAGCAGTTTGCAGCAGACAAAATGGCTTTTGAAGGATGTAAACCTTGGAGGTACAGAATACAATAAACTCACAATAGAAGTTCCCACAGAATCTTAAAAAAGAAAATAATTTTTTATGCTGAAATCTACAAACAAGTTGCAAATTAAATAATGCAAAGAATTAATTACATACAGCAGTAGGAGGACACAGCACAGGACACCAGTAGGAGGACACAGCACAGGACACAGGGCAGTATTAAAAAGTACAATTTTGAACACATTCATACTTTGGAACAGTTAAGGGCCAGATTGTCAGTTAAGTCTGCACAACATCATTAGGTTTAGTCAAGGCATGTGGCTTTACTCCAGCTTGAAGTGTCTCCCTGAGATGCCCAAAGCCTGAATTGGRTATTCAGCACTCTTAGATAACAAAATTGTGATCATGTCGTGCTTTAGAACTGKKGCCTCAACATTGCTGAAATAAAGARTGTGTAAATTCTCTCCTTACACTTAAATTCTACAGGATAAAGTGGTCTCTGTTGCCTCATCCCTGTGTTCAAGAAGCAGCTCTCATTACTCAGAAGAAACCAACATTTTTAATGAAGTGGTTCACGTTCAACAGAGTCAGKTACATCCTGGTATTTTTGAATCTGAAGACAACCTAATTTAATTCTAACTGAAGATTCAATTTTTTTCTTTTCAAAAAGGAAGAAAACTGCTAGCAGTCAGTATGAAATACAGACCTAAATAGGATTTTCAGTGAGAACCCACGCAGATTCCTAAATCACAGACCAGCTGRGTCACAGTGCTGCTCTACCAAAAGCTTTTGCTGCCAAATAAAAAGCAGTGACTACTCTACCACTGATGCCATTGTGCTGMTCACAGCTAAAGGTGCAATGCTTTTTTATTTAACCAGTGAAATACAACAACACGCTCTATAAAAGCTCCAGTGCAATGTAAAACAGAACCAGAAGGAATTGGCCCGACTGAAACCAAACCCTTTCAGGATCAGTTCTCAGAACCTGTGGAGAACAGGGAGGTTCATCCCCAGCAGCAGTGAGAACAGATTTTGTATTTTCAGTATGGGCCAGGGGTGTTGGGGAACCTCAGCAGTCCTGGTGGTGATGGTGACTGGAAAAGCCAAACAGGTGGGTCACTGGGCCAGGAACAGCTGAGTGAAGCCATTCCAATTTTCTTCTCTGACAAGGCCTTTGCCAGGAGGTTCTGTGCATGTGACAATACCCTCTCAAGGTGTATAAAGAAGTGCAATGTGAGCCAGGTGAGGAGCTGATCCACACAAAGGGTCTCCATGMACATTTATGCTTTTTGCATTGCCTGTCACAGGACTGAGAACCTACAGTACTCTAAAAAGTCTTTGGAATCTGACCAAACTTCACTTCAGCTACTGGATGCAGCAATAAAACTTAAAAATAAACTTTATGAACTCATTTTTAAGTGCTTGACAATGTCATTGTTTACCCTGTACATTTTACACAAAGGTATAATGTATGAAGACTGACAGAAAAAAAACAATTGGTAATTTGTCTTTTTGAAATATTGTTTTCTCTATTTTTCCAATGTTAATGATTAAYAGGATAAGGGAAAATTCTTCAGTGCAGGACAAGAGCTCCAGCTGCAGAGACCCCTTTCCCAGACAGAAAATAAACTGTGGGGRTTTTCAGGGTTCCAGCCTCCAAGGAATAACCACTCCTTGGATAGAGCAGCTCTTTGAACTGGTGCTTTATGCACTCACAATTTAAAAAAAAGCACGGAGCAGTTTCCATTCACAATGAACACAACAGCACTGGGCAGCTACAGCTCTATTACAAATTAGCCAAGTTCATTCCTGCTGTGAGACAATCTGGGAGCCCATGGCTGCCATCAAACTGGGGCTAAAACTGGAAACAGCTCCACCAAAGTAACTCCAAACAGGCTTTAACACAAAGTGCAGCACAGCAGAAAGGAGGATACACTGAGATCAGAGCACAGCTGGAAACAGCAAGGCTTCCCAGTGCATTCCAGTGCTAACAATCTGTGTTTCACCAGACTTTTTTTGTCACACATATGACAGTTACAGACTCACAATGGACACTTCAACCTTACAGAACGTTCTCCAAACCATAAATACAATTTACAACAGGCTTGCCCATGACCACCATGGCCACATTTGCTATCACCAACAGTTCATTTGTGAACACAAACTTCTTAACCAAGGCCAAAACCAAGGCCATTTATCAGAGRTTTCCCAAACAAGCACAGTAGCAGTTAGATGCTACTTTCACTTTGTTTCTCCAACAGGAATGATGGTTTACCTTTCCCAGAGGATTTCACACATTTTTGACTGGACTCCTGGCAAGCTGCAGTGAGTGGGAACACAAACAACTCCTGCTGGGGCACAAATAGAGAAACCCATTCACCCCTCACCTGTGCTAACACAGGGAGACTTCCAAGCTTGGCATCAATTATTTTTTTTCTAGATAYCAGGAGTCAAAAGAGTGAAGTTTTTCAACATTAAAAGGTTCCTGGGCTATAAACCAATTGGAATAATCATCTGATCAACTTGAGGGAACTCTTGAAACTGCATTATGAGCAGTTTAAGGTAGCCAGTGGTGTCATTTCAAACACTGCCTTTCAGAGCACATACCCTGCTTTTTCAGACTCCTCATTTGTTTGTAAACAGCAGTTACATAAGAACTACAACACAGAACTTAAATATTTTTAGGACGCTGATAGCTACAAGTTATTAAAAAATAATAACTTAAATGGTAAGATTTTTGAAGCTAACACAAACTGAAGCTCATAACAAAAAAAAAGGTAGTGGATCCATCTACCATAGTATACTTAGGGTATTTAAAACACTTTTTACATATATTTTGCTATCATTTGTCATCTCTATTTACATACAATAAAATAATTAAAATGAGGTGTATAAGGCTAACGAATGTGGAATTTACAAATGGCTTCTGCTTTACAGTTCATTACACTCTAATCACATTTTCAGACTGCTATAAGTTCACTGAGAATCAGTAGTATTGAAGTTCTAGTACATACACTTGCTACCATCAAGCAAGGAATACCATCAAGTTAAAAATGCTTTTCAAAGAGGATTACAATTGAAGGTTTTAAAAATACTGACTTTGCCAAAGTTTCAATAAATTATTTTAAAATATAAATAGTTCATTCACTGTTAATGCAAACATCATTTTACAGGGTTTTGAAAAACGATTTCATTTAAAAAAACCTAGAAACACAGCCTACTTTACCCAGTGGTCTCATTTTCTGTCAGAATAAAGAAAAAAAAAATTGCGGAAATCATGACAAAAGCAGCAACATACAAAATTCAGACCAAAGCTCTCAACTTATGATCTTGGCTTACACAGGATAAATTCTCTTCCTGCCTGGAAGAGCACCTTCAGTAACTAAACCGAATTTACTCATTGAGACATTTTAAACCTCAACTCAGCTCTCACCTGCTGCAGGCTTWAAGTGCTTACAACAAAAGAGAACAGGAATCAGAATTTCTACTTTAGTTARCCATGAAGATGTTTTCACCTGAGAAGCTTTTAACCTGAGAAGCTTCAGACATGCCAAGCTGACAGTCCCCATGTGCTGTTGTAGGTGTTCTGAACCTTTACTATCAGGATCAACCACTAATATTTTCCCCCAGTTTATGTTCATCAGGGAAATTATGCTACCAACAAGGTATCTTTTACCCCCTAGAATCAGTCAGAAAATACTTCCATGCTTTTTTCCCCACAATCAAATTATACCCATGAATGCCAGAACCTGTGCAAACTTAGCTCTCAATCTCCACACTTAAAACAGAAAGTTAACAGACTGACTTACTACTGATCATTCTCAGGTAATTATGAGCCAAGATCTTTAACAAGTCTTCAAAAAATACATATGCCAATCATCATTATTCCTTTAAAACCCTTCCCTCTAAACAGCTAAAAAAGATGCTCCTTTGTCCAGGTTTTCCTTCAAAAAGCCTCCCCAAGAACTCTGACGTTGCTATTTACAAAAACTAGAATTAGTCTCTCACTGAACTGAAGCAAAGTCAAGTCACAGGATCATTCAGTGCAAGTCATGGTACAATTATTCTGAGTTGTATGTTGGGGCCTCAGTGGTACTCTCTGGCTTACAAAGCCACTGAAAAAGGTCCTTTTCTAAACATTTCCAGAAACCTTTGGTCCAAAAGCAATTTTCTTGCTCARCACCTTCCCCAGAGCTCTCAGATCCTTCACTCTCCCAGTGAAGCCTCTAAAAATGCACTGCACAAGCAGGTACAGTTACTGCTCCTGGTCCCAAGCACATCCTGCTTGGTCTGGATTTCTSGTTTGGTTCTGGGGAAGAGGGAAAGTGGAAGCAGGTCAAACTGCCAGCTGTGCCCCTTGCCAAGGGGATGAAGTATCTCTCACACTGTAATGGGTATTTGCAGAAGGTCTGATTCCACAGAAAGGAAGGGCTGCAGCATCTGTCCCCTTTCAGCCATTAGAGGAACACACCATCTGGAAAGGCTGGAGGCCATCCCCACCAACCTAAAAGCAAACCAGTGGTGGCAATTCAGCTGTGAAAGTTTCCATGGGTGYGAAAGCATGGCTTTTTCCTCAGCTCTAGTTCATTCACAAGTAYGAACCTTAGGGCATAAACCTTAATCTAAGATCAGGCGTCCTCGGTGTTTTAACAAGCTGAAGTTCCTCAGTGAAATSCCACCAAATCTCCAGGTGTTTATCCCCCTGCTCTGGTGTCACTCTGACAGGCTGGAGGCATCATCATCATCTGTCTGCTCCCCMGAGTGGTACAGCATCCTCGCGTGGGTCTTGTGAGTGATGGTGACAGTGCAGGGCCCCTGTGCCCAGGGCTCCCCATCCACCTGCATCGGCATCTTGGAGCTCTTCAGGATCAGCTGGTACCAAACACAACAACACAGTCACTTCTAAGGGCTCTGGAATCACCTTTTAYAGCTGCAATACACAATTGTAGCCTGGCCAGRGAGAAGCTGTGAGTGGCACTCACARGCMACCAAGCACAGCAACAAACATCTGYGAATTATGACATAATTAACTTTTACTAAGCAAGAGAAACATCCAGCTCAGCTGCAAACTGCAACTTGGGATCTGATTCAAGCAGTTGAGTGCTTGAGATTCTATACTGTGTGTTAAAAAAAATTTAGGAGAGCAAGTGCCCCTAAGCATCACTTACCCTCACTGTGTGTGCCTGCCCCAGGCGCACAGGATTTGCCAGCTTCACCTGGATCTGGGCACAGTGGAAAGAACCATGWACACCAACAACTTCCAGAAGTCCATCATCATGTCTGTGAAATCAAAAAAGGAGACCCTTTTCAGTGCTGCTAATGAGCTGTAGCATGTCTGCCCAAATAATGCAGTCCTTTTACTGCTGTTCCCAGAGAGAAGGCGAATATTGTGCTACAAATATGTTTATTTTGTGCTGGAGAACAAATCACACTGAACAGCAAAGAAAGCCATCAAATCCCACAACTAAGGAGCAGAGCACCACCCTAGYTGGCTTCTGGAAATTATGGATGTGTGACTTTCCAAGGCTCATTCTGCATATTTAAGGCCCACAATGGATTTCTGTTCCATAAACTTGTACAATTTTCTGTCCTTTCACTCAATTATTCATCTACAGGAAAATCTTTTTTTGGCTTCATTTTTTAGATTTGGGTAAAGAACCTTGCCCAACTATTTTTTAAAAATTCAGGATCTAAGCCTTCTAGCAGAACTACATTTATAGAAAAGGCTTCTGAAGAAGGAAGTCACAAGAGGGAATAACTAATGTTCCCAATTATTTTTCTCTTTGGTATTGCTCCAAATTTTTGACATTTTGTTTTTACTTTCCATTTTAATCTCCAATGAAATGTGGTATTTTAGACTCTGAAATGGATCTATCTTCTGCTTTTGGAAGGCTCCCTTTATTGCTAACAGCCTCTCAATGCTACTGCTGTCATGCCAGATGTTTTGAGAAAGTCTTAAAAGCCCTTCATGTGTGGGATGCCTTTAATCCAAGTCTCTAATTCCAGGAAAATAAACAAATGTGAGACAGCCTACTGCCCCCAGGAATCCTTCTGACTGGCAAATAAATCTGGCTACATAAGCACTGGAGGGAAATCTTTACATTGCAAGAACTGTTAAAGGAAAAAAACAAAGCAAAAATGCCCTCTGTACCTYGCCAAGGGGTAAGGTTCATCCCCCATTCCTTCCCAGAGCCTGCAGCCACCTCCCCAGTATCCAATATTCAGCACAATGATGCCTTCCAAATTGGGCAACTCGATCCTCTCACCATCCAACTCTAGCTTTAAAAGACAAGCAGAAGTTAATTACTGTGGATCAAATTCAGTACTTTAATACAACCTAGTTATCCTTTTTATGCATTTAGCAGGCTTCCACTTGAAGAAAAATTTGCCCTGTAAAAATAAAATGTACTTTCTTTCCATACTTTAAATAAAATTCCTTCTGATTTCACAAGATATCCTGAGCTGTAGTAGATTTCTCTTCGTAGAGAAAAGAAAAAGGAGCTCACACTGATATAAGCCTCTGGTCAAGGCCAGAAAGCAAATCAGGAATTTTCAGCAAGGTCARAGACATGAATTCCATGTAAGGAACTAAGCTGGAGATGGCAAAAGGAACACAAAACCACTCCAAGGCCAGAGGCACAAATATAAARTGCAAATATTGTAAAGTGCAAAGATTCTTTTCTTTCACAAGGTAAGTTTTTACACTCCACTGACTCTTCAGAGAATAAGCAAGTTAAAAAACTTACCTCAACTTTCTTGTTAAGATCCTTACATTCTTGTACTAAGCAGTCTTTGGTTCCATAAAAAAAATAAACAGCCTGCAAAAAAACCCAAAACAAAACAGGGAGAAATGAAAACACTGTTAGGAGAAGACAAAGCAAAGGATGACTATTTAAAATATTTATGTATAATTACAGCTCTGCAAACCTTATACATATTTGCACATCCTTAAACTAAACTTTCTTCCTGAGATGAGCCACAACTCACGTAAGAAACTAAAGCTCCACCTGGAATAAGCCATGGCCTTAACTCATGGAGTTTCAAAACAAATAAGAAAATTTTGAGCAAAAACAAGGAAACAGCAAATTCTGTAAGTGAGCAGAAGCAAGGCAGAACCCTTGTGAGTGGGCTGCAAACATGTTCTACCCATGGAATCTCCTCCCGAAGAAAAATGATTTCAAACTTAAAATGGCATGAAAAGAAGTAGGGGAGTAAAGAAATGTAAAACTAAAAAAGCCTGAAGTCAAATCAACAACTCCAAGGAGAAAATGCCACTTTACCAAACTCACCTTATTGATAATTCTGCTGGAAAACAGAGAGGGAGTTCTCTCACGATGGGCATGGAAATTTAAAGCCATGAGAGCATCAGGTCCTATAGAGAAGTAGTTATTCATTGTGAATACCTGTAAGGGAGAAAATCCTTATTAAATATCATTATAAGGGTTTAAAATTCAGAGTGCTTAATGGGAAGTTGATAACCAGAAAAATAATTAGAAACATACAGGTATTCCACAGAACTAATCTTTATACTTGCAAACCATACCTTTGGTTTCCTTAAGTTGTAGTATCCTTTGTTTGTTACTTGAACCTTCCATCTGAAAAACAACAGTTGTTACTCAGACTTGTGGCAGATAGCTCTCAGTATCAAAGCTGTAGTAAGAAATCATATCTATGCTGGGATTAAGACAAAATACCCRAATTTAATTAAATTATGAAAGCATTAAGTCCTGCAAAACAGCTAAACCACTAAATTCAGACCTCAGTTATGCTGTAGTTCCTTTCAGCATTACTTGTGTTYATGTAAAGAAACTGCTGCAATGGACTATCAATAGAGCTACAGCAGAATTTGGTTCCATACATTTTATTTTTTCACTGTTCCTTACCTGTCTAGTTGGACTCCATCTGCCTCCATGACATTTCGTAAGATCTGCTCTACAGGGGCTTCTCCAGCATAACCTGCACCCCAGCCCAGTGTATTAGACAGGTCATTCCCTGTTCCCAGRGGTAAAATTGCAACTTGTGGAATATATCGTTCTTGCCCCTAGGATACAAAACCACTGCRTATTAGCTCCTGCTTCAGCACTCGTTGTCTCCCTTTCATCCCCAAATGTTCAGGTTAGATAAATACCAGGTTAGATAAATTCACYTTGCCAGCAGCCTGTTACYCAGAGCAGAGCTCTAGGGCTGGCARAMCARGKGGCACATGGAGCTGCTACCCAGGGATAATGTAAAGGAAGGAAATGTTAAACCATTGTGAGAAGGAAAGAGAACACAAACACAAGATGGAAACAATGCATTATGAATACAGAATAGAGTATTCCTTCCAAGGAATGATGCTCTGGATCTGGGAAGTGACATGAACACTGACAGACGTTACACACAAGGCTGTGAACTGCAACAAGACACCAAAATGCTCTTACAAGACTGAGGTGAGGCTGGGTCTAACAACAGWTGCACAGAATATCAAAGTGTTCAACCACAAACAGAAAATATTCAGAGGAGGAACGTCAGTGTCTCAGGTGCAGACTGTCACCCACAGACGGAGCAGGTGACAATCTGTGACAGAGCACAGAGTGACAGCAGGTGCTCAGAACAGCCACCTTAGCAAAGGGCTTGRCTCTCCTCACCACAGAAGGGTGAACAGTTATTTCAGCTGTACTACAGCCTGTGAAATTCAGCTCTGACAAGCACTTGTAGTAAGTTGGCACTTTGGTTACTATTTTTTTCTAGAAGGGTTATCAGCCAGGTAACCTGTATTCAAGAGTTAAGATAAATGAAGGGAGCAAATAACCTTACTGCTGATAAGAAAAAGGTTTTGCTGATAATCTCTACRGTATTTCACCCAATGCCAATGACTCAATTTGAACAGAACAAAGAAAAACCCAGATTTCATCAACCATATCRCCTCTGAGGGACAACATATCAAGTGCCCAAGACCACATAACCATATACTCACATTCATTAACCTTTATAGTTACTTTATTTCTACTTTATCAGCACACAATGTCTCAAAGAGGCTGTTTGACTATGCATGAAGTTGTATTAAGGGCCTTCAACTACAACATTTCAGGTATTAACAAGAAAGCTGCAGTTAAAAAAAAAAAGTTGATATAAAAACTTTCTTCCTTTCAGCTCTAGAGAAAAAGTTTATCAAGTAAAGCACTAAAGCCTTGGAAGTATTCTCCATTCTTAATCTTCTCAGTTCTTAGCAGTATCCCATAATAGGACTATCTTCCATTTAAAATGTTTAAAACAGTAAACACACAGCTTATTTTTGTCTCCTATATTTGCAATTAATAGGCAGACAGACCAACTTTTCAGAACATGTGATAAGGAGCAGAAGCAAATGACTGCACTCATTCATGCTCTGGCAACATAACCAGTATGGCTGGCAAGGTTATTATAAAAGATTGAGCAGSCAGAGCACATTAACCAACATTAGCAATGCCATTTATGACAAAATAAATCTGTTCAGACAAAGAAATAACAATGCCGATAATATCCGGCAGCTTGTTCTCTTCTTGTTTTGCAGAAAATAACAACTATAAATATAATTTAAAATCTAAACCTTTTACATTTTTCCCTAATTCCAAGGAGTCATAAGATGGATTTCCCACACCCTTCCCCAATATGAATAAGCAGTTATGCAAATACCCCTCTGAAGGGCTATTCAGAAAGATGAAGGTAAGATATGAGGGGTAGAACTTTGGCAGCTTCAAAACTCATTTCATTTTTAATTTAAAACGCAATACCTTTATCTTCATTTCATCAATTGCATCCAGGACCCAGCCCACTGTGCCATCCCCACCACAGACCAGAACCCTGACAGCATTGCAAGGCAGCAAAGTGCAGAGCTGGAGTGCTTTAGCAGGTGTAATTTTGCTGAGATCAAAAACCTAGAAGAAAAGAAAATCAGGAATTCTGTTAAGTTCACAGAACATGACTCAGGCTTTGCCTCACAGAKAAGCAGCTTCCCACAAGTTAATTCTAATGCAAAACAAAGATTCTCCRTTTACAGTATTACATTAGCAAATGAGCTGTCTTGACTTTTATGAGCAGGATTCATTTCCCAAATTCACAACAGAGCTCCAGCTGTCTCCCTAGGATTAAATGGCATGATAATCTGAGCTGACAGAGCCCTTGGAAAAGTCTTTATCTAAAAGCATGATGATGAATTCTGTAAAGATGACAGACTTCAGATAAAAGCAATTTTAAAATACTCGGCACACAAAAGAGGTTAATTCTTTAAAGCCTTATTGGGCTGCATTGAAAACAAACACAGTGAATTCTCTTAGGCTGTATTTTACAGCTGGATTTTGAACTTCAAAGGAAGARTATTAAGGTGCAGCCAGGAAATCCAAGGAACAACTGCCTCCCTTACGTCAGCATCCTGTGCCATCCCAGCGGATTTTAAAAGGAAAGCAAGTACACAAAGTGCAACTGTAAATCCTGACATTTCTACAAATAATAGATTATTCTAATCTAAACCTTGCTTTYATTACAGTGGCTTTTCACTGTAAATACCTGAACGGGGTTCAGCAGCATTTTRAATTCTCCCAGTAAAGTTTCCCCCATGTTGTTTCCACTGCGAGTGTTAGCCAGCACAATCACTGGCATCCAGTGTTTGCTGCTGTAAGGGACCACCTGCAAAAGGTAAAAACCACTCAGTCACACAAACACTGCACGTCTGAAAATGTTCACAGCCTCACTCCAAACCCCATCCCCTGCAAGTGCTGAAATGAGGAAATCACCAGTTAGTCTGAAGGAGTCAAAACACAAAAAAGCACTTCTGACACAGCAAGGCTGAAGATTCTGCAGTGCCCAGGACAACAAATACTACAGTGTTATGAACACAGCAGTAAAAAAATGTGCAAAACGTTCAAGAAAGTAAGGCAGACAAATCTCAGTATTTTGGTAAAAAAATCCACATCTGCTTACACTTCAACTACCATGTTACTACAACGTCAAACACCTGTGAATTAACACAACAAGTACTTAATACATGTTGAAACATTTACCTGATAGTTGCTAACCTGACAATGTATTGAGTTCAGATTTCAAGGTCTGTCTGTGGGTTTATTTGGTTGGTTTTTTAGTATATTCTAAGCCCAAGAAGCAGCAGGCCATTACCTTTTCATAACTTGTTCTTTTCTCTTTACGCATCTGGTTGATTGTAGACAAATAATAGGGTGGAATAATTAAATCTTTGAATTCTCCAAATGTACAATCCTCAGTCCTCAAACAATCCATCATGCATTCRTCATGCACAGTGTACTGACACCATACACACCTGGAAAAAAGACCAAAAAAAACATGAAAACAATCTTCAAACAGGCACATTAAGTTTGCTCATTTATTTTAGACTTTTACCAAAATATTTATGCTTACATGCACCATTATAAGTAATATTTTAAACACATTACAGATAAAACCATGCATTCCCTGGAAGCCTATGGATGGCTATAGAAAATGACTTAAAATACTCATGCGTTTGTAGGTCTAGGAAAGCATTTGAATTCTGCTGGGGAAAAAAATCCAACAGCTTTAAATTAATTATATTCATTTTAATATAAAAAATAGGTGCTATAAACATGGTCCTGTTTGCAATATTAACAGTTACACTGAAAGCTTRTATGAAAACTGAACTGTCCATCCTTAAAGAGCACTGATAAAACACTGGAGCTCAATTCAATAAAGTGTTACAAGTACTGTACTAATGCATTCCTTAAGGTTGATAATACCCCTTTAATCCTAAAACCTAAMAGGTTACACAGAACTGTACAGGGCTGATGGGATTTAGTTATGCAAAACTGCTTTGCTTTACGACCTATTCTAAAAGCTGTCCTGGAAAACAAACCAGAACAAGAGGAAATACTGCAATATCCACTTCCAGCCTCTGCAGAATGTTAATCCTCATTTGCTACATCCAAAGCCTTGATCTAAGCAGCTGGGAAAGCTATTTTTGGAGTCCTTCTGATTAATCCAACACATAACTAGAGTAGCAATGATACTTGCTCTATGCTGTGTCTYTTCCTCTCCTTCCTTCCTTTCCCCTTTGCCTCCAAATTCCTGCCCTTCCCTCCTCTCCTACACACACCCTCAAGGTTTTGTTTTTGACAATGTGCTCTTTTACACTGTGATTCTGCTTACTAACCAAGCAATTTGACAGTAACACATGGAAGCAAAGCAAAAGCTGGCAGAAYACAGGCTGAAAAGATGACATCCTTTGAGTAGGCTGAAGTAACACACTGGGGCACCTATCACTGCATTYTGGCACTGACAACTTTGCAAGCAGCCTTACTAGTGACAGTGCAAATTCATTTAATGGTTCCTCATATTTTTAAAACATGCTTATCACAAACTTTAACAATATATTGCAGTAGCTTATAAAACTTTTTTCAGCATCCTTAAAAATGAGCTTGAAACCTGTACATGATTGTTTGTTCTATTTACACTAAGCAGATGCCAATTTTGAGATGCACAGTGGTTTTTGCATCTGTGACTTGTGTCAGTCAAACTGCTCGGCCTACCCACTGTCCACTTGACAAATGTATTAGAAGCTTCTTAATGTCATCCCCTAAAATACAAACTCCCTTGGACACTGAGAGTCTCTTGTGTGTAATTATACAACAGCCTGCACATCATGCTGCARTAATGCAATTAAAAGAACGAGTGGACATGAGATGCAACGCCTCACTCTTAATCTATGACTCACAAGCATCCATTTTAATTTTAGGTTCTTTGAAGTTTGTTTTTTGTACCAATATCTTATCCGACTATTGCAGGATCTCCTYCGGGGTGTGGTGTCCCAACAACCCCGTGGAAAACACCACACTGACATGGCACTGTACGTTCTCCCGCACAGACTCCCCTGCAGTACCTGTAGTCGCAGAGCTTGGGCTGTGTGCCGCACTGTTGTTTGCAGACCATGCAGCAGCTGCAGAGGGGGACGTTGCCCCTGATCCAGTGGTGCGGCATGGAGCTGGGGGCTCCGCCGGTGCCCCTCATCATGATCTCCTTGCAGAGGAAGCGCCGGTCCGCCTTCTTGAGGCAGCTCTCGCAGAGGCGCAGCCCGCAGCAGCCGCAGAAGGCGCCGCGGAGGATGTGCTGGGAGCACACGCAGCAGTACGAGGGCTGCCCGAAGAGGTCCGTGTAGTGCCAGTCGTGTTTGCTTTTACGGAAGATGTCCCGTATCAGCAGCTGCCGCCGGGACCGCTGGAAGCTGCACCACGCCGTGATGAGCACGGGCAGGAGCACGGAGCACAGGGTCCCCACGGCCAGGCGCCAGTCGGCCACGGCCCGGGAGGCATCGCCCGAGCCCTCCATCCCCGCTCCTCCCCGGCCTAACCCCTCGCACCTCTCGGCCAGGCGGCGGGGCGAGCCCCGGAACGGCCCCTTCGCCTAGGGAGCCAACTCGCAGCTTCATGAACCATCTTTTAATCCCTCCTCAGGGCTCGGCACCGACCCGCGCCACATCGGGCCGACGGCAGGGTTCCGGCCGGGGCTCCTCCGCCGCCCGCCCGGGCCTTGCGCAGCGCCGGCCGCCCCC